ATTATTGATCAACGATATAAATATTGAACTAAACAACGAACCAACAGTAGTAGTAGTAGTAATGAGATGAATATCCTGAAAAAGAATGAATAAATTTCCGTATCCGGATTGTGTGTTGTGTTTATGCTGCAACGATCGATCCATTTTATTTTTTCTCTTTTTTTTGTACGTGTAATATTCTCTTTCATTTGAATTGTTTGAAACAAAAACTCATCATCATTATTCTTGGATTGAAAAAGAAGAAAAATTTGATCCAGTATTCTCACCACCACCACCACCACCAATGAACAACAAGTTACCTTGGTTACCCTACTCCTGTTATTATTATGTGACAAACAAAGCCAAGTTTTTGTTGTTTTTTTTTTGTTTCTTTTTGCATTTCATTTCATTTCGATTTCGATTCGGTTTTTGTCATTTTTTTTTGTTTGTTTGTTGTGTGTTTCATTTTGAGATTGAGAATAATAATAATAAAAAACGAATATAAATGTGTTTTTTTCTCCGGTTCGATGTGTGTGTGTGTGTGTTGCATGCATGGCCGTTTTATTCGATCGATTGATCGATCCGTCAAGTCATTTGATTCTGAATTTTTTTCTTTTTCTGTTGAACTGTTTTTTTTTTTTGGTTGATTGTTCATTATATTTATTTCTTTTGGTTTTTTTTCACAAACCTATAATATGAATAGGAATGATTCGAATAAATTTTCTTTATTTTGAAAATGAGAGAAAAAACAAAAATTATATTTGTATTGTGTTGTTGTTGTGGAAATCGAAAAATTCAATTTTAATTATCGCCAATCATTTGTATAACGAACACACACATACACACACACACACAGGTAGTAGATTGGAAATTGGAATCAAAATGACGATTCGTTTGTTGTTCTTTTTCTCTCTATCTCTTTTTTTTTTTGGTTGATCACCATTACCTGATTGCTTGATTGGTCCATTGATTTGATTAGTGTGTGTGTGTGTGTGTGTATGTCATCTTATTCCAAGGTATGGTTTTTAATGTTTGTATTTCCATTTACGCTTTATCTAACAAACAAATGATGATTATTTATAATGAAAATTGTTTTAGAGTTTTATCATTAGTTTTTTTTTTTTTTTTCTCTTGAATCCAAAAAAAAGAATGTGAATGAGAATGAAACATTATCAACATTCCGTCCATCGTCGTTGTCAGTCATTCATTCAGTATCCATGGTTCAGAGATCACCATACACACACACACACACAGAACCACACACCACTATTATATTATCATGATGATGATGATGATGATGATGATCATCATCATCGTCAGTTTGTTAGTCAGCCATCCATCAATCGCAGAAGCGCATTCTTGCGTAAATTTTCGTCGCCTATGTATTCGTTTTTTTTTAATTTAGATACCTTTTTTTCCCTAGGTTTTAAAAATGAATTATTATAGACAATATATATATAGGTATATATTTACCATTGTGTATTTAGCTTATAGTTTTTTTTATATGATTTTATTTTTTTTTTTTTTTGTTGTTGTTGAAAAAGTTGATGAATTACGTAACAAACTTCCCCCCTTTCAGATAATAATAATAATGACAACCATTTTTTTTGTGAACAAGAATAAGAGACATAGACCGAAACGGCCAGTGACCTTTTCCCTTTTTATCATCATTGTGTCCTTGGTCATCATTATCATTATCATCATCATCATCATCATCATCATTGATCGAATCCTATTCTCTTCTATCTATTTTGACCGATTGAAATCAATGAATGTTTTTTTTTCTTTTTTTTCTTCTTCATGGAAAAAAATCCATCGGTTTCGAATTTCATCCACCATTCGATTATTATTATTATTATTATTTGTCGCCAATAACAATTGAACCTTTCCACTATCAATTCATTAGCCAAGTGATGGATTTGTAAACACAGCAAGAGCGAGAGAGAGAGAGAAAGAGATATTTAACAAAAAGTCTGTAATACAACAACTGTATGTAATCTGTTTTTTTTTCTTTTGTAAAAATTCGTCGTTTAAATTCATCATTTGTATTGGCTAGCCATATTCGAAAAGAAAAACCATTTAGTAGTCGGTGGAAAAAAAGAAAGAAAAAAAAGTTTATATTTTTTTTCATTCCACACAAACAAGAAGCGTTCAATCAAAGAATCATCATCATCATCATCGACAACAACAACAACATATCATCGGTTTAATTTTTATTGCTGATTTATCGGCTGATTTGACGATGTTTTTTGTTTTTGTTTCATTTAATATTGAGAAGAACCACCACCAACAACAACAACATTATGAACTGTTTGCTGGTTGATTGAATGGTGCACAACCATCTTGATGATGATGATGATCTTGAATGAATGAAAAGAATCTTTTTTAAATGATCGTTTGTCATTACTACTTTTTTTCGATTGTGAATGAATGAATGAATGAATGATGATGATGATAGTTTATGATTAGTTGGTGATGACCATCATCATCATCATCAATAATATCAACACTTTGCGACAGAGAAAAATTTTCGATCTAATTACAATGATGATGATGATGATGATGTGTGTGTGTGTGTGTAAGTTTAATTCGAATTTAATTGGAAACTATCAATGTTTTCTGGTCATTTGATGATAATTATTTATTATTGAAAACATTTAATATGTCTGTGTGTAGTAATTTGAAAACAGTTAAATTGTCGACGGTTTTTTTGTGTGTATGTCGTTCCTCGCTATTCACATAATCATCATCATCATCATCATTATGATGATCATTTGATCAGATGTAATGGTTGTTGTCGTTGTCGTCGTCATAAGCTGTTTCAATAAAAATAAAACAATCTCTCATTCTCTTTGTTTTGTTTTGTTTTTATTTTTTATTTTGTTTGTTTGTTAAAATCAATTGATAATTTTTTTTTTGTATACTGGGCTTAACCCTTAAAATTTTTTTTTTGTTTTTTGTGTCCAGGTTGCTAGTTATTTAGACAAGTGAAGCGAATAAAATATGTGTGTATGTTTTGTGTGTTTGTTTGTGAATAGGTTTTCTATTTGTTTTTTGTTTTTGTTTGTTTGATAATCTCTGTATAAATAAATAGGCTATACATACACAACAATATTGTCATACCATATGAATTCATCATCATTTACGTTGTTTGTGGATCGAACATCATGTGACTCATTATTCGTACAAGTCTTCCTGATCACATTTAAAACATTAACTTGTCGAGCGTATATGATGATTTCTGGTTGACTGGTCAATGGTGAATTATCTCACCAGTACATTTTTTTTTGCATTACATGCCTGTTGCATAATGTCAACCATTATTATTAGCTGATGATGATATGGTTAAAATAATAATTGCTGATTATGGCCATATCGTGTCTTTGAACAACAACGATGATGATGAAAACTTTTGTTTTTCTATACGGACGTTAAGTACAAAAAAAAGAGTGATCATTTTGGACCATTATCGTCATCATGTTCATCAAAAAAAGAAATGGTCTAATTGCATTTTGTAGTGTTTTTAAAATCATCAAAATCATGACATCTACATCTATATGTGTGTGTGTGTGTGTGTGTGTATTTCAGTCTAAAGTTTAAGTCAAAGAGAAAAAAATTTTTTCTTGCTTTTTTCCAAACTGTTGTTTCTTTTTTTTCTGTCTATTTTGTATTGTTATTGTTTTGAACTTGATTTTGTTTTTTTTTTGTTTTTGTTGTTATCTATAATCATCAATGATACACTAGATTGATTTGTATTTGTGTATGTGTGTGTGTGTGTGGTGCCTCAAAATATTATTATTGAACAAGATTCAAATTATTAAAAAAATGTCCATGTCCATTTCTTTTTTTTTATATCATTTCACAACCACAACAACAGGCTATCCATTTTCATCATTATATTCAGATCACTTGATGATGGTAATGGTAATCGTTGCGTGATTTTGTTTCTTCATCATCATCACCACCGCCGCCGCCGTCGCCACTACTATTCGGACAACGATGAATCGATGGATTATTTTTTTTTTGTCTGATTCTTCAAATCATCATATACACACACACACACATCCTATGGCGATATTTAGATAAGAACATTGCCGATAATTTGTTATGCAACTTGTATGATGATGATGATCGTCTATTTTTGGCTGATTCTTTATTTTGATCATTCAACATAATCATCATTTTCATCAATTCCGCCGGTGGTTTCAATTCATCATTCAATTCAATGTTTTTGGATGATGATGATGATGATGAAAACATCTATATAGCCGCGCAAATGACACCATCTAATATCTTCACTACACACATATATCAGGTAATGATCATTATCATACACACACACACACGCACACACAATTGAACGACAATGATGACGACCACGAACACAACATTTAGTTTATTGACATGGTCTTTCTTAATGGCACTAGAAGAATTCACGGCTATTGTTCAATTCATTTCATGAAAAATGAAAAGAAAAAAAAATTTAAATAATGTTCCGTGGCTTCTTTAGTGCTTTGAAGAACGGCTATCGATATGTCTACCTTTCTTTCATTCTATCATCATCATCATCATTAGATGATCGCTTTCTTCTCTATACTGCAAACATTTCATTTTTTTCAAATTTCTAAATAGTGCATTTTCCTTGGCACTGGAAGAGTTCGCCACTTTTGACCAGATAAAAAAAAATAATCAAATATATAAAAAAAAGAAAAAAAAAACTGAATTGGGTGGATTCTTGAGTGCCAAAGAAAATGCATTTCATCAATCATTCAATCGTACAATATTCCTGTGTTTCCTGTTATTCAATAATTTTTTTTTCTTTTAGCCAAAGTCTTTGCACAAAATTTTGGCACTGGCACATTTTTGTGTGGAAATAATTTCCGAATTTATTTTTTTTAAAAAATGTTAATTGCACAAGAATTGTGAAAGTGTCAATTATTGTGTTTAAAGAGAAATTTCATCATTTATTTAATAATCAATTTCATTTTGAATTATTTTAATCAAATTTTTTTTGTCTACAGAAGAGACAATTTCCATTTTTTAGAATTTGAAATTCATATTCATCATTGTAGAAAAACTATGGGAAAATTTATATTGTTAAAGTTTGATATAAAAGATTGATATAAACAAACCTTATGACAGAATGGACAAGCAACGATTCCAATTTCGGGCATCATATTCAAATAATAATGATTTCGATCTGAAACATTATCCTGTACAATGATGACATTTGAATGATTCAATTGATCAAGATATTTTTCATTCAAAATGGCCACATTTGTTTCGGGATTGATTTCATCGCCAAAATTAATCGTCAGTTGTTCAGATTCAGTTTTTTCATTCAATAATAAATCATTGGTGAACACTTCAGAATCGTTTACCAATGATGTTCGTCGTCGTCGTCGTTCTCGTGGTGATTGTCGTTGGCCGAATGATGATTTTTTATCACCACCATCATCATTATCATCACTATTTGAATCCAATATTTTCTGGAAATTTTCATCCGAAATATTGATTTCAAATTCAACTAACGGTAAGATATCTATTCATTATCGATTTAAAATTATTAATCAATTTTTTTCATAGAATACCAAACAAACAAACCGAATGAATAGAATGAATGTATAAATCTATGATCACAATTGACACAACGATTCAATTTGCCATTAATCAATGAATATTGTGATGAACAACGATAACAGAATAGTGACAATTCTTCTGCATCAACGAATGGTTTTGTACGAATTTCAATGCTACCGATTTGAATCGATTCCGATAGTTTATCCGGTAATCGAAGATTATTCAATTTTTTATATGCAATTCTAACCAATTTATAATGGCCCAATGTTTTGCCCAATTTAGCCAATGCAAATAGAATGTACCTAGTGAAATAATATTGTAAATAATAAAATGAATTTTTGTCGTTAAATCCATTTGATTTGATTTTTTTGAAAATGAATAATAAATAAATAATACACATACGGCATTGAAACAGCTTGTGGTAATAGATCTCCATCTATGTATTGGAATAGAAATAAAGCCGAATTGAAAAGGATTTCAGCATAAACCGATGTGAATGGTTCTTCCTTGTATTGTAATTGAAATTGAACAAAAAAAAAAAAAAAAAAAAAACAACAACAATCCGATTGTGAATAAACCGCCAACAAAATCATCACTATTATTATACATACGATATATTTGTAAATATATTGATATGCATGATAGATTTCGGCTTGTTCATGTAATTTTTGCCAATCATTCATTTCGATTTTCTTCTTGTTGTTGTTATTGTTATTGTTGTTGTTGTTTTGTTGTTCATCATCATTTTGTTGGTCATTGTAAATCTGATTACAATGATTGGCCAAAAGCCATGAATAATAACTTGCATCATTGAAACGATTTTCAATTATTGAATTTTTCAATAAACGTTCCAATACTTGTTTGGATTCCTGATATTTTCCTGATTCATAGAATGCTTTTTGTGCTTCAGCAAATCGATCATTTTCAGCCAACCACATTGCATATGGAAAATAAATTTCTTGTTTCATTAATGGTATATCGTTACAAATTTTCAATGCTTCTTCCCATTGATTATTGTGTATATAGGTAAGTGCTAAACTTTTGAAATCACCAATCTTACGATAAATTTGTATGGCATTCACATAATCTTGTTTGTTTAGAAAACTTTCGGCAATTAAATTTAATAATTTAATTTCACCTTTATCAATTTGTTCGGCAAATGATACGATACTGTTTGAATTCAATCGAATTAACTGAGTAATTCCTTCATCTGAAATTGATTTTTTTTTTACTAACCTGTTGGCATCACTTTTTGAAATTATTTCAAATGCTTTTTCATAATCACCTTTTGCAATGCAAACTTTACTCAATGTTTGTAAATCATTGAAAGCATTGTTGTTACTGGATTGTTGTCGTCTTTGTTGTTGTTGTTGTTGATTGGTGAAATTGTCCGCTGTTGCTACTGATAATGACGAAACCTGTTGATTTTGATGATTTTCATATTCTTTAGCCTGATCATACATTTGAAGATCGGTAAACATTTCCCATGCTAAATGTAGTGCATTGATCTTTTTATATAATTTTGCCGATTCAGCAAACAGTCCTTTATATGCTAGATATTTAGCCAATAATAATTGTTTTCGATTCTCATTCGATATCGAATCCGTTTGTTGAAAATACGAATACAACAATTCATTATATGGCCAATCATTGTTTCGTTGGAAACATTTTCGTGCAATTGAAAATTCACATTTATTCATAGCCTGATTTGTTAACATTTGCCAATCTTCATATGTCACATTCAAACATGCTATTCGGTATGCTTCACTAATTTTTTTTTGTTTCAAAACATAAATAATACATCTGTCAATCGGATAAATGATTGAATGAAACATACGTGAATTTATTCAGCTGAATATAATGCAATAATATCCTGGAATAGGCAATTTCATGGCAAATAATTTTCATATCATTGTATTGTAGATAGATTTTATTGCCCGAATATCCAATTACATTTGCCTAGAGTAAAAAAGAAGCAAAGTATTCATTAAATAACACCATTTGTCACAATAACAAAATCTTACCTGATCGGAAAACTCGATTGTTTGCATAGGAATATTTGCCATTTTAATTGCTACAAATCCAGATCCAGCAAAACAAAGCAAATCATCGAAACGGCTATTCCAAACAACACTTTTTACGCTTGGTTCCTGTATTCGCAACATGGTAAAGGGTGGCATATATTATTTTTTTGTGAACAAAAAGATGATTATCGTCATATTGAACAAAAATAAAAACCTCAAATATAAGTTGTTTGTTACGTAAATCATACACCAAACAATTATTTTTATCATCAATGATGGCAACTTTTTGTCGTTTTATGCTGATATCAATATATTGAATCGGATTACCAATTTTAATCAGCTCAACCGGTATAATATTCGATATGAAAATCATCAATACTTGTCCATCTTTAAGACCGATCAATAATGATTCTTTGGCAGGTACACCACCGATTGTTTTCAGATATTTAATGGATGATTTAAAATTCCATTCTTTTTCCAATTTTCCGTTGAAATTTAATGATTGTATTACATTCTCATCGCGAACGATAATCAGATTCGATGAACATAACCTGATCATTGTACAATCATTGATCGTTTCTGTATTGATTTTCTCTTTGATACGATAATTTAGTTTTCCTTCATTGTTGCATTCATAAAGAACTATACGTTTTGCTAGTTGAATCTATAGATTGTGAAATAACATGTAGTAATAACGAAATGAAATGACATGGAAACTTACAGCCAATAATGTCTTATAAATAGCAATCTTTTTCACCAAATCTCTACATTTGATAAGTGCTGTGAAATGTGGGAAATGATAGAATTTTTTTTCTTAAAAAAAGAATTGAATTATGTAATGATTCATACTTTTTTCATTCGTATTCAATTGATGGACTAGAACATCCGTCATTGATGAATGACGATATGCATAAAGTTGTTCATGTAAACATTGTACGGTCATTGTTGATATTTGATACATTGATAGAGTACCATCTTGACAGCCGATTGCCTTTCGGGAAAAAAAATCAAACAAAAAATAAATAATTGATTCAATCACTAATCATACCATTCGATTTCCATGAGCTTTACAGCACCATATCCACGATTCTTTTGTGGTAATTGTATCGAGAGCGATTCCTTCGACCGTATAAACGATCACCTGTTTATTTGTGCCACCGATAAGAAAAAATTCATTTCCCAATAATGATGATATGAATAGTGGATCATAACCAATGTTTCGTTCCTGAACATTCTGTTGTTTCAGAAAAAAAAACATTCGATTGATTCATTAGTTATCAAACCATAAAAAAAGATAAAAAACCTGATTGCCATCCACATCATATATGGAAATGCTTTTGGTTGACCAATCCACTACTGATAATCTATCTTCCATTTTTTCATCATTTGTTTTGAAAAACAGTACACCCCAGATGGCATTTTTACGTTCAATTTTCATTTTTTCATCACCATTCTGTCAATATGGAATAAATAATTAATTTTTTTAAAAGAAAATCAACAAATCTTACTTTGAATCTGATCGAAATGTGACCGGAATTGAATCCAAGTGCAAATATGATACCATCTTCATTCCAACAGCAACAATTGATTGGACTTGTTACTTTAATTTTCGTAACATTTTTCTGTTCCGGTGACCAAAGACCAAAATCTGATGATGTACAACTTAATAATTGATATGATGTTGGATTATATTGTACACATCGAACCGAATCATTATGTCTGCGCGAGAATGAATCAATGAGATGAGAGAATGAAACACACAAGTCACTTACGAATATTTAAGAATGCCTTCCATTTTCGATGTCCATATAATCACTTGTTTATCAGCTGATCCGGTTGCAAAACGTTTACCATCATGTGCATAGCATATACAATAAACATTATCTTTATGACCTTTCAATGATTCTATCAATGATTTTTTTAAAATATCATAAACATAGATTTTTTGATCAGCTACAGCCAATAATAAATTTCCATCCGGTGAAATGGCTAAATCATAGATGCTAAAAATGAAAATAAAAATTCAATTCTTCAACATTCATCATTACAACTTACCATAGTGGTTGATTATCTTTATCTTTTAACTGATATTGCCACAATAGATTTGATTTCATTTTTTTTAGAAAACAATTTAAATTGATTGAATAACATCAAAAATTGAATGTTGTGGTTTGTTTTTGAATTTTTTTTATTATTATGACAAATAAATATCCACAATAGCAACCAGGAAAGGTTGCCATGACGGTTACTAACAACATTTGACAAAAAAAAACAAAACTTTTCAAAAAAAAAATTCACATACAAATTGTTACAATTTTGGCCGCATTTTTCGCATTGATCCCATCGGTAGATGATAAGGTCGTTCATATGGTATACCATAATGTTGAGATACTTGAAGCCATTTATTCATTTCATTCAATCGTTTCATCATCTGTTGATTATTGTCATTGTTTTGTATTGTTTGTAATTCTTTGACCATTTGACGAGCCATCGTTTTGATGAACTGGATTTCAATTTCAGTATTGGATTCATTTTTTGCTTTCCAATTTTTTGTCATTCGTATTACGGATCGATAGAAATTGAATATTTCCTTTCGGATATTTGCCGCCATTGTTATTGATGATAGATTGTAGGAAAATTTTCCAATGGTTTGTTGCCGTAAAGTTGTTGTCATCAATCAATCCAATTGACCGGGCCAATACAAATTGGTTGTAAAAATTCTCGCAAGAGAATGCAACAGAGAAAAAAAATCACATGATTGACTTTTTCATAATGGACGTTTTTTTCAATGAAAACATTTTGTTTGTTTGTTATTTTTTGTGGAAAAGATGCATTCCATCATTTTCATTATTATTACTGATTTATGTTTATTTTGTTTTTCATTCTATCCACACGTTTATGGCTCCCAGAATCAATCATCATCATTAATTAAAATCAATGAAAATGTTTCTGAAATTGTGGAAAATCAAAACGTTTCATCATCATCGGATAAACCGCCGATAAAATTGTTCCATGCAACAAATGAATGGCGCGAAATTGGTGATGAAATTCTGCCCAAAGGACTACATGTTCGTATAAATTTGGAAACCGGTCGAAAAGAGGCTAAAATTTTAGATGATAACAATGCCGATGAAGTGGACATAAATTCACAGATAACAACCAAATATCAGATTGCAACAAAATCTTCAAAAGAAAAGATTAAATTAATGACCAATGATGAAGATCGATTCCTAAGAGATATTAACAAATTACAGATTGAGAAGAAACAAAATTCTGATGGAAAAACAATTAAATTCAAGACTGTAAGAAATATCAGCGCTGAAAGTATCGAATCTGAAAGTGAAATTCTCAAATCTTTATTGACACGATACAATCAAACGACGAATTTGGATGAAAAAATATCCCTGTTAATCGACATTGAATATTTGGTGCATACAATCAATGTGGCTAAAGATTTTTATGATGCCAATGGTTTCATCATTTTGATGAAAGATTTAAATCGGACAGATTTTAATCAATTAAAGATTGAAATTCTTGCCGTTTTCGGTGCAGCCATACAGGGTAACATGTATGTGAAGATGGCGTTGTCAAAACAACAAGAATTTCTTACGAATATAATCTCATTTTTAGAAAATGTCGACAATTTAGATGTGGCTAGAAAATGTTTTTTCGTTATATCCACATATCTACGTAATTTTCCATCCGAACAGAGCAAATTTTTCCACAAAAATGATGGCAAACAATTATTGAAAAAATTATTCAACATTGATCAACGTATTGCTGTTAAAATATCGGCATTTCTTTGCGATTTAAGTGAAGAAATTGAAAATCCAAATCCGAAAGAATCAGCTTTTTATGAAACCATCAAATATGACGATTATATTGATTCACAGATTTGTCATGATATTGTTCATCTTTTGGCCGATGATGCTTTGATAGAAAAATCAGATGTTATTTTACTTCTCGAATCGATTCAAGGTTTGATTCCACGATGTCGAAATGAATTCAATTCATATGATAGAAATTCTTTCTTGAAAATTTTAGATAAATCAAATTTTTCCAACAATGAATTCATTATTGAAACAATGGAAAATTTATTGAAATCATTAACATTAAAAGATGAATTATGATTATGATATTATGTGATTTGTTTTGTGATATTTTTCTAATTCAAATAATTAAATATGATTATTATTCAATTGCTTATTTTGAAAATTTTTATCTGATTCGATTCGAATGTCGAAATTGCTAAAAATGAACCATTTGGATTCAAGAATTTCGTGCCAAAAATCATTTCATTTGGAGCAATAAATTGTTGAAGAAATTCAGCCTGTTAATCATCAAATGATTATTTATTTTATCCAAACAAATATCAGCCATTATAACTTACTCTAAATTCATTTTCATTGATTTGTTCCAAACGAAATAATCGGGCATAACTATCTTCAGAGCCTGAAATCAGCTGTAAATAAAACAACAAAAGATAAATCAGATGATTGATGATTGATCAAACAATCGATACATACATAACCAATGTTTGTGGCGACATCCATACTTGTCACACATTTGATATGTGCCTGAATTTCTCCAAGTAATTGGCCATCTTTGATATTAACGATTTGTATCTGACCAGAAACGGTGCCGATTAGCAAAAGATTTTTATAAACTTGAATACAAGTCAATTTTGTGCTACAATTGTCAACAAACGAAATGTATAAACAGTGAAAACAGAAAAAAAAACATACTTGGGATGAATATTGAATGCAGTGATTCTTGTGAATGATAAATTTTTTTCATTCAATTTCCAAATTGTAATTTTTGCTAAATTTTCAAATAAAGCAAATTGCGATTGACCAATCGAAATGAATTTATCAATCTGAGATGTAGTACTGGATTTTAAATCTTGATGAAATTCTTTTTCAACAAAACAATTGCTGCTGTTGATTGCAAACATTCGTATTCGATTCTGTGTTACAAAACAGAAAACATCTTTGCTTATCCTTTCTATTGAATTGATTGCCAGCAAATCTTTTGTATCCACATCGTTAATATTATGATCAAACAACAATGTACAGCCTGAATCTGTCGAATAAATCTTGATGAAGAGAAAAATCGTTCATCAATAATCAATCAATTTTTCGATAAACTAACCTTTAATGTTTTCGATGATAATGAAATCAAATAAATTTTATCCTGTAATCTTAACAATCGAATCTATTTAAAAATAAATTAATCTACAATTTCAATAATAAAAATCAATTTCAATCGCTAACTAACCATCTGAAGTGTATTGAATTTACCATTATTCGATAAATCAATCATTGATGATTCAATAACGTTTGCACCATTATCAATCGAAATTACGGACATTTTTCGATCATCATGTACGGCTAATTTGGTGTTTTTATCATCTTTACTTGATTCAATGGACAAATTATCGAAACAAGCAGATGTTGTTAATCGTATTATGATTGGATTCAATTGAGAATACATTTTTTCTTCAAATCAATATTGATTAATTGATTGATTGATTTTATAATCACCGTTTGAACCAATGAATTATGATGATGATAATAATGAAAAAAAATGTTTTTGTTGTTCCAAATGCACACCAAATGGTTTCCAAAGTAACCAAGTAATATTCCACTAGGTAGTAGTGCACGCATCAAACGAAGAATTGTTCAATTCAATTTAATGATTTAGTTCATGGTTTTCGATAATTATAACGACAATAAATAAATATAAACTATATATTTCAAATTAATGATTATCACGTTAATATCCAATTGAAGAAAAGAAATCATTAATCGTTAATGTTTTTACTATTTTTGGATTTTGTTGTCGTTATTGTCAACCAACTTAATAGATAGCCATGAAGAATGAATGTTCGATTCAAGTGACATTTTATATTTCGATTTCAATAAATTCTATCCATGAATTGAAACACAATGACCAATATTGATGAAAATCAAGTTCGAAAATATTTGAATGAAAATTACAATTTTAGCCGTGATTGGTTTATTGAAAATGCTAACGGTGACATTATTCGTGAATGGTTCAATTGTCGAAAAAAATCCAGCAATATTTCCGAAAAAGATGAACAAACAAATAATGGTAATCGATGGCTTATGAAAAATTTATCAATTCTTTCGAATCAATTATCAACATCGAACACAAGTGAACAACGAGATCCAAATTCAATCACAAAAGAATTACTTGATAATATTTTGGATAGAAATTTTCGAAAATCAGGTGATTTTCAATTCCATTCCAAACCATTGTATAAATGTTCTGTTGTTTTTTTTGCAGCTAATTCGGAAAAAATTCGTGTAACAACAAGTGAAAAACGACGAAAACTTGTTGGATTATCGGAAGAACAACTTTTGGTGGAATTAATTATTGATATCATCAATGAATTGGATGTGGATATTTTATGTCATAAAATATTGACAAATGTTTCCGTATTGATCAATTGTGATCGTGCATCATTGTTTCTGGCTAAAGGAAATCGTAAAAATCGTTATTTGGTTGCAAAATTATTTGATGTCACACCTGATTCTCAACTACAAGACGCCTTGGTTGTTTCTGACAATAATAATTATAATAATAATAATAACAACAGTGGTGGTCGTCCAAAAGTCCCACCTATTCCATTTGGTATGAATTTGAAATTTGATTTACTCCACGTCTAATTTTTTTCTGTTCTCAATAGGAACTGGAATCGTTGGACATGTTGCAAAGACAAAGGAAAGTGTCAACATTAAGAATGTCTATCAAGATTCACGTTTTCATAAAGAAATTGATATTCGAACTGGTTATCATACAAAATCTTTGGTAAATCAATTGTGAAATGACAATGTTATAAATTTACAATGTTTCACATTTACCTAATCTAGATCTGTCAACCAATTGTCAATTCAAGTGGTGATGTAATTGGTGTTGCAGAATGTGTCAATAAACTTTCCGATGAATCTTGTTTTACTGAAAATGATGAAAAGGTAAAGTTCACTGTCTGTGTATTGATTTCATTTTATTTTATGATTCGCTTTTTGCAGATTTTTCGAAAATATCTGACATTTTGTGGATTTAGCATACAGAATGCACAACTTTTTCAGCTATCAATTCTTGAATACAAACGTTATCAGGTAATGAAATGTAAAATTTCATTGTAAATTTATATATCTTCTCTTTCTTTTTTCAATTAAGCTATTGTTGAACATTGCAAAAGTTATATTCGAAGATACAACCAATTTAGAAACAATGGTCAAGAAAATTATAGAAAAAACCAAAACACTTCTTGATATAGATAAATGTCGTGTCTATATCATGTCTAGGCAACAAATCTCGGACGATCATAATAATGAAATAAAGGTGAATATGGATTTAAAAAATGAAAAAAACTAATTAAAATTTTTCAATTAGAATATGTTTGAAGCCATTTTTGAATTGGATAGTGATACTAATCAAGTCGAATTGATTAGGTATGTGAAAAAATTCATTTTATCAATTTTAATCAAAATTTTTTTTTTCTGAATAGAATTGAAGAAAATGACAACGGATCGGATGTTCCATCATATTACGCTCAACAGGCAGCTGTTAATAGAAAAGTATGTTTTATTCCATTTATTCCATTCTTTTTATTCATTTTAATCCAATCAATTCAATAGACTTTGAATTCTGATGAATTATTATTATTGGAACCAGTGGTTGACAGTGTAAATATAGTTTTTATAGGTTTCAAGCGAAAACTTTTTAAAAAAAAAAAACCGGACTATCGTTTATTTTTCTCTGGAAAACAGAATCTCTCCATCTTATCGGTACCGATTTTCAACAATGAAAACAAACTTTTAGGCATAGCTCAATTGATCAAAACAGAATCAAAAGTATTCACTGATGCTGAAACTGGTGTTATCGAAGCATTTTCCATATTTTGTGGTTTAGGTTTACAAAGTTGTTTAATTTATGAGGAGGCAATCAAATTGAATGCACAACAACAAATTTCATTGGAAATATTAGCCTATCATGCATCGGCCAATGAAGAAGAGGCCACATTATTCATGGTGTGTGTGTGTGCATTGTTTATTTGATTCGAAAATAATAATTTACATTTTTAATCTCCAGAATAATAAAATTCCATTGGTAAATGTTTATCATTTGGATAGTTTTGATTTTGATGATATCGAAATGAATGATGATGAAACCGTTGCTGCATTTATTCGAATTTTTATGGAATTAAATTTTTTGGAAACATTCAAAATATCTTATAAAGTACTTTGCCGATGGATATTGACTGTGAGAAAAAATTATCGTCGCGTCATCTATCATAATTGGCGTCATGCATTGAATGTGGCACAAACAATGTTTGTCATCATTGAGGTAATTTTTTTTTTTGCCAAGTACAGAAGGATTTTTATTTACAGGAAAAATTTCCAAAATTCATAATGATAGAAATGCAAATTGAAAGAAATTCTCAACCAAAAAGAACGATTTGCATTGATTGTTGCTTCAATTTGTCATGATCTGGATCATCGTGGTTTGAATAATTCATTTCAAGCAAAGTAAGGCATAGATAAAATTTTTTTTTTTTTAGTTATTAATTTTAAATTTTTTTTTTATTTCGTAGAACAAGTCATCCATTGACAAAAATTTATAGCACTAGTTATATGGAAAATCATCATTTCAATTGTACAATGTTGATTTTAAATTTAGAGGTATGAACAGAAAACATTGTTTGGTTTTTCTAATGAATTTCTTTTTTTTATTATCCAAAAGGGTAATAATATTTTGGAAAACGTCAGCAGCACTGATCGAGAAGAAATTATCAAAATAATAGAACAATGCATATTATCCACTGATTTGGCTGAATATATTCGGTAATTGAGTTGTGGTGATGGTCAAAAAACAATTAATCCTTATTCATATTAAATTGTAGGAAAAACAAAAAATTTGCCGATCTTATTCAATCAGCCAAAATGGATTTGAATGATTTGAAAAATAAAGAACTTTTACGTGATATGCTTATGACAGCTTGTGACTTGTCAGCCATCTGTAAACCGTGGCCTATTCAAAAACGAATCGCTAGTCTTGTTGCCGATGAATTCTATCTACAAGGTGATCTTGAAACTCGTCTAAATCTAAATCCATTACCCATAATGGATCGTAAACAGAAAGCCAATTTACCACAAGGGTAATATTTTTTGCACAATTTTAATTAATTGAACTAATTCATCAGTTTATTTTGCAGACAAGTTGGTTTCATCGACAATATCTGTCTTCCACTATATCAAGTTAGTTTTATTCAATTGTTTTATCTGAAAACTTTGGACAAAAAAATGAAATTTCTCTTTAGATTTTATCAGAATTCCGTCCGAGATTGAAACCACTTTATGATGGTTGCCTAGCTAATCGTAAAATGTGGCAAGAATTGATGAATGAAAATGGCATCAATTAGATGAAATTGTTGAGCAATCACCAAATCCGCCACCACCTGGAGTTTCTAAATGAAACACATCTCCTTCATTCACTTTGATAGTATTTTTAGCGCCCAAATTGACGATAGTTCCATCGCGTTTTTGGAGTAAATTTTTACCACGTTTGCCATTTTTGCCACCTGAAAAATTTTCAAACAAAAAATCACTAATATTGCTGAAAATTTCGATTTATTAAAATTTACCTTTGATTCCATATGGACTAAAAACTCGTCGTTCAGTCAGCACGGAAAGTGTTAATTTTTTTCGAAACAAAAGTTCACGAATAATTCCATTTCCACCCGAATTCAAACCTGTTCCTCCAGTATTATAATTGATAGTAAATGTTTTCAAAATTACTGGATAACGTTTTTCAAGAATTTCTACATCAGTCATTCTTGTATTGGTCATATGAGAATGGACACCACTTCTTCCCACACAATTAGCCGTAGCACCTGCACCACCGGCAACTGTTTCATAATAAGAGATATTCGAATCACCAAATGTTATATTGTTCATACATCCTTGTGATGCGGCACAAACATCGAAAGCTTTGAAAATAACATCTGTTATTCTTTGGGAAGTCAATACATTACCACCAACTACAGCTGAATCTAAGCCCGGAGATATTAGCGAATGTTTTGGAAAGATAATCTTGATTGCCGATAAGATTCCATGATTCAATGGTATATTATGACCAATCATACATCGCAAACAATAAATAACAGCCGAATATGTAATTGATTCGGGAGCATTCCAATTTCCATGTACTTGTTGACTGGTTCCAGTGAAATCGAAAATACTTTCACCGGTTTTCGAGTTGATTTTAATTTTTAATTCAATAATCGAACCATCATCCATCATATCGTTGGCAATGAGTACATTTGTATTTTTTTCGATAGCAATTTTTTTCATTAAATCTCTTACTTCTAATTCAGCATTCTGTTGTATATGATGCATATAAGCCAATACCACTTTCAACCCATACATATCGATCAATTCATTAACCAATTTCAATCCTTTGTTATTGGCAGCTATTTGAGCTTTCAAATCGCTTATATTATCATTCAATGCTCGAGTTCCACTACAACCAGGAAATTCTTTAGGTTTCATTAGCTGAGCAATTAGTGCCTCTTCTTGAAAGATGTTTTTTGAAACCAATTTGAATGATTTAAATTGTGCTCCTTCTTCAGTCAAGTGTGTAGAATTCGATGGCATTGAACCGGGTGTTAGACCTCCGATATCAGCATGATGACCTCGACTTGCTAGAAAAAATAACGGTTTCGTTTCATTATGAAATACTGGAGTGACCACCGTTAAATCGGGTAAATGTGTGCCACCTTCAGATGGATGATTGGTGAGGTAAACATCTCCTGGATTCATATCTTCAATATTTTCATACAAATATTCCACAACTTTACCCATAGAACCAAGATGAACAGGTATATGTGGAGCATTTGAAACTAGATAACCTTTTGCACTGAATATTGCACAAGAAAAATCCAACCGTTCTTTGATATTCGTAGAAATGGCAGTATGTTTCAAAGCCGAACCCATTTGTTCGGCTATTCCCATAAAGATATGGGAAAATAAACTTAGATAAATCGGATCAAGCTCTGTTGTCAATGAAAGTGATGAATCGGTTTTTACATTGATAAGAATATTATTTTGTTTCGTAACTTGAGCATCACATAATGGTTCAATAAGAATTGTACTATTTGATTCAATTATAATGGCCGGTCCATTGATGCAATTACCGTATTTGAGATCATCAAAACGATAAATCGGTGTATCTTGATAGCCGATATTTTCAAAATAACATTTTGTTATTGTAACTGGCTTCGGTAATTCTTTTATCATTTTCTGATCCTGTTTAATGGGCAAATATGTTTCATCAATAAATCCAATTGAACGGATACGAATATCATCAATCAATATCAATCGATTTGGAATAACAAAACCAAATTCTCGTTCATATTGTTCAATAAATGCATCACGAAAATTGTCTTCAGTACATAAGACTATTTTGTTTTTGTCATCTTTACTAGTGACCATTAAAGAAAAATCAGTTTTTTCATATCTCAAATTGAGATACACTTCATATCGTATATGTTGTTGATTGAAACCTTTTTCCGTGAGAACATTTTCACATTTTTTTGTCAATTTTAATATTATGGAATTAATTTTTTCCAAATTTGATGATTGATATTCCATTGAACAAGGCATTGTTTCTTCATGAACGATATCGGCCAATGCTATACCATATGCTGATAGAATTCCTGTTTTTTTTTGTTTGTAAATGAAAAATTGGATTTTAAAACAACGGAAGGATTCATAAAGAGCATACATACCAGAGTATTTGTGAATAAATATCTTTTCAATTCCAAGAGATCGAGCTATTGCACAAGCATGTTGTCCACCAGCACCACCAAAACAGGTTAAAACATGATTTTTTATATCATATCCTTTACCCTGTGTGATTGAACGAATTGGACGGCACATTGTTTCATTTGCGACCATAATGAAACCTAATGCAATATCTTCGATTGTCATTTCTTTACGGCCATTGTTTCGGCAAAATTCATTGACTTTGGTGGATAAATTCGTGAATTCTTTGACCACGGCTTCAATGTCTAATCCTTGATTTTTGTCTGGTCCAAAAATTTTAGGAAAATGATCCGGTAACAATCTTCCAAGACAGAGATTGGCATCGGTAACCGATAGATAACCATTGTTTCGATAGCAAATGGGTCCTGGATAAGATCCCGAGCTTTCTGGACCAACCACGAATAATCCATTACGGAAATATAGACGTGAACCTCCACCAGCTGCTACAGTGTGAATATCTAACTGTGGATATTGAATAATGACATCGGCAATTTTCGATTCAAATTTATGTTCCAATTTCCCATTATAACGGCTGACATCTGTTGATGTTCCACCCATATCGAATCCAATGATCGGTTTCTCTATGCCGATATCGTTAACGGTTGTCAGTGCATAACCAACCACACCTCCAGCCGGACCACTTAATATTGATCGACAACCACTGAAATTCGATACATTAGTCAAGCCACCATCGGATTGCATGAATAATAATTTTTTCTGATCAAAATTTCCTTCGAAATTGGCCATGAAACTGTCAATGTAAGCCTGGATATGAGGTGTGAGATAGGCATCGGTAATTGAAGTCATTCCTCTTGGTACATATCGTATCATTTTCATGATTCTATGTGACAACGATACATGAGTGAAGCCAATTTCTTTGGCAATCTTTTCAACAATCAATTCATGTTCTGGATATAAATATGAATGTACAAAAGCTATTGCTAAACTTCGAATTCCAGATTCATAGATTTGTTTCAAATCTCGCCGGACATCATCCAAACAAACACGTTTTAATATACCGATTTTTTCACCAGTAATAGCATCCACGAAAGGCATATTATTTCGGGTAATCTCACATTGTTCATTGAACATTATAATTCTTTCATCTACTTCGACAACTTTTTCATAGAGAAGAAATGGATCAGCAAGATCAAGTTCGAAAATATTTTCACGATTTTGATAGCCAATTTGGAATATATCACGAAATCCTTTCGTCAAAACAATGGCTACTCTTTCACCTTTATGTTCGAGTAAAGCATTTGTGGCCACTGTGGTTCCCATACGAATCGAATCGATATTATCATGTTGGTCGACGGATTGATTGTTGTATTGTTTCAAGATTCGTTTGATTGCTTCAAATGGAGCGTCTCTATATTGACTAGGATTTGAGCTCAATAATTTCAATGTAACAATTCGTTTATCTGGACCGATGGCAAAAACATCGGTAAATGTACCACCACGATCGATAGCTATACGAAACATTTTTTTGTTCTTTTTAAATTAATCACAATTCTATATTATAAGAAAAACAAAATATAAATCATGATTTAGACTTGATAGGATTTATTCGATTTCGAATACTTAGTTTGACATTTATTTGAAGGTGGTTGGTGTTTGTCTGGTGATAATTTTTTTCTTCTTTTAATCTTATCGCTTTTTGTACTCGGTGTTCAACTTTTCAAAATCGAATCTCGAAGAAAATTTCTAGGAAATTCGACAATCTTTTTGAATGGTATTTCCCCAGAAAATAAGAAAAAAAAACATGCAGCCAACCCAGCGGTCATCATCATAAGCTTTTAAGCTTTACATATATTTTTAATTGTTAAATGATTTCCATACGTCATTGTTTAGGTGTAGCTTCTGTTTTAAAAAATATCCATAGATTGTCGTTGACATTTTCTGCAAGGTAAAATCATTTTGTTAAAATTTTCTGGCTAATTTAATTAATTCTTGTCCAATATAGACCAATTTCAATAGGAAAAATGGCAACAAAAACAATTCAACAACGATTTGAAAATATTGTTAAACCTAATGAAGATAAAAGAAAATATTTAGGATTAAAATTAACAAATGATTTAAAAGTGTTGCTGATATCGGATCCTGAAACCGATATTTCAGCTGCTTCACTCAGTGTAAATGTTGGTTCCATGTCGGATCCATGGGAAATTCAAGGATTGGCTCATTTTTTAGAACATATGCTTTTTATGGGCACTAAAAAGGTTCGTTTACTATTTCAAATAATTTACAATCGATTGATGAAAAATTATTTGTTTTACATTGTTCGTAGTATCCAAATGAAAATGAATATAGTAAATTTTTATCACAACATGGTGGAAATTCCAATGCTTACACTGCTGATGGTATAACGAATTTCTTTTTCGATATTGCTCCTGAATATCTAGCTCCTTCTTTAGATCGGTAAGTGAGATGAGAATTTTTTTTATTGCCATTCGGTTTCAAATTTCCCATTTTTTTTCCTCTTTCAATATCAAGATTTGCTCAATTTTTCATTGAACCATTAATGCTTGAAAGCTCGGTGAATCGTGAACTTGAAGCTGTCAATAGTGAATTTGAGAAAAATATTAAAAGCGATAGTTGGCGTTCATTACAAATTAAAAAATCATTAGGATCACCTAAACATGATTTTTATAAATTCAATATTGGTAATTATGAAACGTTGAGAGATTTACCAAATTCTTCTGGTATCAATATTAGAGATGAATTGTTTAAATTTTATGAACAATGGTATTCAGCAAACACAATGTGCCTTTGTGTCTATGGAAAAGGTAAATGATAAAATTTTTTCATCTGTTTTTTTAACACTTTGAATACACTCTCCACACAGAAACTGCTGAAGAATTGACTGAAATGGTGAGCAATTTGTTTACATCGATAAAGAATAAAAATATCAAATCACCGAATTGGACTATTCATCCGTACGGAGCAGATAGTCTTATGAAACAAGTATATTTGGTACCGATCAAAGAAAAACGGACACTGGAATTAGTTTTCACATATCCTGATGAAATAAAACATTATAAATCATCACCTGGAATGTATCTATCGCATTTGATTGGCCATGAAAGTAAAGGTAGTCTTCTTTCGGAACTGAAAAGACTTGGTTTATCTTCGGCATTGTTGAGCTATTTTAATTGTAACGAAGGTTTTGGTTTCTTTCACATTAATGTTGATCTAACCGAAGATGCTATGAATCGTATCGATGATGTAATCATATTGATTTTTCAATATATCAACATGCTTAAAGAAAATGGCCCTAAACAGTACATATTTGAAGAGAATAAAGGATTGAATTATATTAAATTTCATTTTATGGAAAAATGTAATCCAATCGATTATGTGGCCAAAATATCATCAGATATGCATTATTATCCAATTGAAGATGTACTATCTGCAAATTATTTGATTGATCAATTCAAACCGGATTTGATCACCGAACATATTGATTATTTGAAACCAGAAAATTGTATTATTGCAATTTCAAGTAAAAGTTTTGAAGGACAAACTGATCGTAAAGAAAAATATTATGGTACCGATTATAAAATCATTGACATGGGAAAAGATTTGATTGAAAAATTGAAAAATCCTAGCCGAAATGAAAATCTTAAATTTCCTGAACCAAATGAATTCATACCAACCGATTTCAATATAATCAAATGCAATGAACCAAATACAAATGTGCCGAAATTATTGAATAGTAATGAATATTTTCGTGTTTGGCATCTTCATGACCAGACATATGTTAAACCGAAAGTATTTTACGCCTTTAAATTGATTAATCCAATTGTTTATTCAAATCCATACAATGTGAATATCAATTCATTGTTTGCAATGTTGTTCAAAGATGATTTGACTGAATTCTTGTACGATGCTGAATTGGCCGGACTTTCATTCAACATACGCAGCACTGTTAATGGATTTGATATGGAATTTTTTGGCTATAATCACAAGATGAATGTTTTTCTTCGAAGAATTTTTGAAAAATTGATTCAATTCAAACCAACGGAACAACGATTTGAGATATTGAAAGAGAAATATGCAAGAAATCTACGAAACTATAAAACACAACCACTTTATTATTTGACTAGTTATTATTTGAAATCAGTGACTAGTGAACTTTTCTGGTCATATGATCATCTTATTGAAGCATTGGATCGAATGGAGATTAGTTCAATTAATAATCTTATGCAGGCATTTTTTACGAATTTTTTATTGGAAGCTTTTTTTCATGGAAATATTGATAAAGGACAGGTATCGGAAATAATGGATTTCATTCAGAACAATGTCATCGTTCCGAATCGTTCGGTGCCATTGCATAAATATCATCAAGCAATACCTAGAGAAATTGTTTTGGAACCAGGCTGTTCATATTCATATGAGGTAATCAACGATATTCAAAAACCGAAAGCAATCAGCATTTATTATCAAGTTTCATTCGATAATATTAATGATATCTCGAAACTTTTGCTTATTGAACAAATTTTGAGTGATCCATGTTTCGATTATCTACGAACAAAAGAACAATTAGGCTATGTTGTCTATACGAAACTGAGAGAATTTAGCGGTGTTTATGGATTGATTTTTGTAATCCAATCAGATTATAATGTCTCTTATCTTGAGGATCGAATCGAAGCTTTTATCGATTGGGCAAAGGTAATTGGATGTTAATTTTAAAAATCAATTAATTAATGTGTTTTTTTATTTGATTTGATTTCATTAGAAACATTTCACTCAAATGAGTGAAGATGAATTCAACACGGAAAAACAATCATTGATTACTAGATTGTTGAAGAAGAAAAAACGTTTACATGATTATTCGGCCGAATTATGGGGAGAGATTTCGAAAGAACAATATCGTTTTGAGAAAAATAAAAAATATGTCGACAACGTAAAAGAATTGAATCGTGAAGATATCTCATCATTCTTTATTGTAAGTTTGTAAATAATGTCAAACTCATTTCATTCGATTCACATTATTTTTTTCATTTGCATTACACAGAAACATTTTGCCATTGAATCACCGGAACGGAAAAAGATTATGATACAAATCATTAAATCAGATTCAGAAGCAAATAAAACATTACCACCAATTAATGATTCGGATCTGTTGCCAGCACCGCCTAAAAAGGTAAGACAAAACAAAACAAACAATCTCTAAATAATAATTAAAAATGTCTCTGTTATTTATTTTGTTCAATTTATAGGAATCTATATTGATTAAAAATGTTGAAGAGTTTACAAAATATAAATCACTTTATCCATTACCTAAACCGAAAACATCAACAACAACAACAACATTTTTAGTACAAGAATAGATAATAATGAGCATACATGTTACAACAAAACTTTTATCTTCATTTTTTTAAATACAAAACAAAATATAGGTTTTTTTTCACTGATTATTCAAAAATAAAAGATTATTCTGTTTCAGATTTATTATCAAAATTCAGGATTTTTCTATGCGTTTGCCTTATATATTGATTTTGTCTTAGTAAAATTTTAATGAAACCTTTGGCCAAAACAAATGTCAATCCTCCCTGTTGAAAAAAACAAAACAAAACGAATAAATTAGCATTACGGTTATATGATGATTAAATGAAAAAATGATTTACCAGAATTGCTCGACTAAAATTCGATTTAATGTTATCGAAAAAAATGCCACCAATAAATGTGGCTGCTGTTGGTAGAATTAATGCACCGCAAAAATTACGACAAATCGATATTGGATCAGACATTGAATCACGTGCAAAAATTGTCTGTTCAGCATATTCCCGGGATTTTTCTGCCGGTTTTCCCATTATATAGCCTAATAATGGTAAACGGCATTTGTTTTGTATCCACAATTTCAGTATTTGATCTTCCCAACGAATCAGTTTCGATAATAACAATGCTAATGGAATGGATGGTAATCCTACTAACAAAACCAATGGATCAGACTGTTCGATTACAATTTTACCATTTTCTTTTCCTATTTTTATCATTATCATAAATTAAATGATAAATGATGATTATTAATCAAATTCGGTTTTCATATTTCGTTTTCCATACCTAAAACTTGCATAATAGTAAAAGCACCATAACAAACGGCACTCCAATAGATTGATCCAACTATACAGGTAATTGCAGCCAGTGGAGATGCTAAATAGTTTTAAATTAAAAATAATTATCAAAAAAAAAAAATCACATCAAATTGAATGTTTGACATACCTGAATATAAAATTCTATCACATAATTCGATTGTATAGAATAGTTTTCCTGTTTTTTGGCATGAAAAAAATTCAATTAGAATGAAGCAAAACAAAACAAAACAAAAATTTTACCATGTTGTGGAAAAACAATCAAATATTCTGTATTACATTGTGTACAGGAAACATTTAACGATGAATTATATTTCTGTTTTTCATCGATCCATTGTTGAAGACAATTCTGGTGAACCCATTTGGCTGGATTAAATTGAAAATTCAGAAAGTCAAAAAAAAAAAAAAAAACAAAAAAGTAAGGCCTTACCTGTGCCATTACAACGGCAAGGATGAATCCATTCGGTATCTTTTTCATCATCTTCATCATCGGAAGCAAGACAGACCCAACATTGACGGCTATTATTTTATCAATGAAATTCGTAAAAAAAAATTCTGATGAATAATTTTTCCATACCTTTCATTAATGGTTTCACCATTATCACCACTATTATTATTCGTTGTTGTTATTTCATCATCATCATTATTATTATCATCATTAACATTATTTTTCATCAATGAATTCAATGTGGATGACTCGACTATTTCATTTATATCACTATCAATTGATGATGATGGTGTTGGTAAGAAATATTCGGATGGAATTGAAATATGATCATCTTCGATCATCACTTCGATCTGTACTTCGGTTTGATTATCGGCCATTTTCATTTCAACTTTGTTCATGTTGTTTTTTTTCATTCAATATTTGTTTGTTTCAAGTTTCATTAATTGAAGGTGAAGCGTATATTTTTTTGTTGTTGATAAATTGATGCATCAATGCAATTGCAAGTAATAATTGCACAATGCCAACTCTAAAATTTTTTTTCCAATTAATTTACTTGCCAATCCTTGTTTAACCAAATACAGTGGTCTTCAACCTTTTTTTACATACACACACACAATAGGATGGACAAGGTTTTTTTGTCTCTCTCTCTCTCTCTCTCTCTCGTTATATCACGATTTGTTGTCGTTTATTTTCAACTATCTATATCTTAGCAGACCAATTTAAAAGAATTTGAAAAAAGAAACAAAATTATCATCATTAGACCAATGGTTGAAATGGACTGCTTTATTGTAAACATGTGAATGTCGTGTGTGCTGCTGCTGCTGCTGCTCATCATCGATAGCAAATATCGATGGTTATGATTTTCGTTTTTTCGAATAAATTTTTGTTTTTGTTCTACAATTTTCATTTTTTTTTTGACTTCCTTTTTCAAATTGTTAATGATGTCATACATTTATTGAATTGAATATTGATTCAATCATCAATGATAAAACGCACACACACACACACACACGCATTGATTCATCATTATCATCATCATTGAATTCGGGGCAATACCGTTTTCATGTATAAATATTTTTCTTGGTAGCCAATATATTGTCAATGAAAAAGAAAAATAGCGGCAATGAAATGCTCAATTCAATGAGAAAATCAACAAAAAAATAGACAAATTCATAAGAATAAAAAATGATTTTTCATGTTGCGCACGATTCACATATCACAGAATTTCGTAATAATCATCATCATCCTCATCATATAGCAAATAAAAAGCCGCTACCAGATTTTTTTTTCGTTTTTCCTCATCTTATGTGATGTGATGTGGGGGTGGTGGTGTTAAATATGCTATTCTCATCATCATTGCTTTGGTATGATGAACGAATATTTTTTTTTTGACGAAAAAAAACGTAAAAATAATGGCGCCTGCTTCAATGTTCATCAAATCCAATGGTATGCTTACATGATCCTATATAGAATAATTTGTATCACATATTTCTTTCTTTTTTTTTGAATAGCATTCTATATTATAACCCGAAAACATCATTCGAATGACATAGATCGGCATCATCACATATATAATCAACGACTACGATGAATGAATGAAAATGAGCGAACGCCCGCTATATCATCAACAGCATTACAATTATCCACTATCATCATCCATATCGAAAACCGTTCTCAATGACACCAATGTATATATGGTATATATGATGGTTATAGTATCGTGGCTCCTATGCTCCAAATGTTTTTTTTTCTTCTTTTCCTTTTCGCTCCATCAAGCCAAATTTTGGCTTAGTTTGCACACACACATACCATTCATTCATTCATTCAAACAACATTATTATAGCCATGAATAACAGTGATTCTGAAGATTTTGCGTCAAGAAGAGAATAATTTATTTTTTTTGGTTCTGTCTCCCGAGTACGCTTGTGTTTTGGCGAATCGATACATAGAGTCTCAAGAAGTACGTAGATTGAAGAAGAAGAAAAAAAATGAAGAATTTTTACTATGCATCTCGAACGATGATGAAACAAAGTTGAATTGAAACGACGGACAACGAAGGAATATACATCGACAAGAGAATAAAGCCTAAATGATACGATTTTGATCCATAATAATAAACGACGATCCTCATCATCAAGCAAATAAATAAAAAAAAGAATTGTTTAGTACAAAAAAAAGTGAGAATTGATAATTTTTTTTCTTGTTTTCTCCCATAATAATAATAATAACCGAGTGCAATATTCAAGTGCAATATCATCATCATCATTTTTTTCATCAAAAAAAAAAATTTTTTTTTAATTTATATATCCCAGTGAAAATTGTTCTAGTCTTTATTTTTATTTCCTCTCTCTCTCCCTCTGTGTTTGTGTGCATGAGTATATGTGTGTGTGTGTGTCCAATTTTCGATCTTTTACATCGAAATATGATAAATTCAATGTGACCTATTCTTTTTTTTTACTAACAAGAATTTCATTAAAATAAACAAAACAAAACGCAATATTTGTACAAATTTGAATAAAACAACGAAATTATTCTTCAAAATAACAATCTAAATATCTAAAGATATGAATGAAGATGAATTGAATATTCAACTACAACAACAACAACAACAACAGAATGCATCGACAAAACAACAATCGGAAGAGAATATTACCATATCGATTAGTGGAAGATCATCATTACAACAACAACAACAACAACAATCTGATTGTATTGATAATGGAAAATCATCATCCACCTCATCATCATTAATGAATTTTCTATCTAATAATAATAACCATCATCATCATCATCATTTCAATAGCTACGGTGGTCATCATACGGTCGATATGCAAAGTATTGGTCATAATAATAATGATTCTTCATCATCATTTGAAGAATCAACTTCAAATATATTGAATAATACTACTTTATCTTCCGATGTTAATCAATAATTCTAATTCTAGTAGGCAATCACAATTGCTTAATTGTTCCACCGTTAATAATAATAATAATAATAACAATGATGATGATAAAGATGATATTTCATTAACGTTTTCCAATCTAAATATTAATAATGAAACGAATAATGATAAATTCTGGTCTGGTCTGGATGTAGCCGCTACCACCACCAATAATAATAATTCGAATGAAAATTTCAATAATCAACATTATGCTGCTGCTATAGCGGATAATTCGCTACAATTTTCTGGTAAGATTTTTTTTCAAGAAATTTTTTCAACAATTTAATTAAATTTAACTTTTTTTCCTACTCACCCTCACAATAAAAAAAAGAACAATCTTTAGTTCAAAAAATGCAAAATCAATCTGGCCAAATAAACATGTCACAAAAATTGTCGATGAATATTCAAAATTATGGTTCATCTTTGAATCATCGACCTTTGCTGTCATCATCGGTATCTCAAAATTCTAGTCTTTATAATCACAACAACAACAACAACAACAACAATAATAATAATAATAATAGTATCAGCAGCAGTAGTAGTGCAAGTATTCAACAACATCCTAAATCAATATCCAATTTGAATTGGCCACGATCGTCACCACAACAAGGAATAGTACAACAACAAAATTCATTACAATCCAATGGTCTGAATTGTTGGTCGAATGCATTCACATCGAATTATCCTTCAATTTCATCAACGATATATAATACATCAAATACTACCAATTCGAATATTGTTTCATCATCACCATCGGCATCATCATCGCCAAATGTATGGTCTAATGTTCTATATTCAAATCAACAACAACAACAACAACTACAGCAACAACAACAACAGAAACGTAATCCACAACAACAATTTTCAATCAATAATCAGAATCCAATGGCCAGTACAACAGCAGCAGCAGCCGCAAGCAGTAATAGTAAAAAATTATTTTTTCCAAATGAAAATCAATTGTTTTTAAATGAAGCGAATCAAATGAAATTTCGTCGTCAAACTCAAGCAGCAGCCGGAATGATATCGACAAAAAATTATCCTCCAAACACATGTTTACCTGGTGTTGTTGTTGGTGGTGGTCAAACAACTACCTATGATTTAGGTTCAGCTGGAAGTGATAATACTTCATCATCAAGTGATTCGGCCAATCTTCGTGAGAATGGATTATTTTTTCATGTATGTTGCATATATTTTCTTTGATTCATAATTTAATGATGATGATGTTTAATTTTTTTTATAATTATAATTTCAAAGGATAAAAATTTTGAACAAACCCCATTACTTGATTCATTTACACGCAACACAACAACATTGGATCCACAGCTATGTGATGTATTGAAATCAAGCCAAGAAGCTAGTAAAAATGTTTTCAATAATTATGTTGGCCAGACGAATTTATCAGGTTAGTAGTATTGTAGTAGTGAATGATTCAATATCAGATAATAATTGTTTGTTTTCTTCATTTTTTTAGATGATAAAAAACATTTAAAAGGCCGTTTTAATCGAAGAAGAGGTGAACCATCATGGCAATAACTTACAGCACTGATTTATAATTATTTTCTCTTTGTTTCAATTAGGAAAATCACCATTTTTCACTGGAAATGATACTGAATCATTGTTCAATGATTTCCCAATGTCAAGTAAGTCTAGATCATTTTTTGTTTTCATCGTTTTTATAACCATTGTCCGTTTAGATAATGATCCCAATGAACGATTTTCACGTAAAGTTTTTGTTGGTGGTCTACCACCTGATATTGATGAAGGTAGTATTTTTTTAGCCACAATGGTAATATAGAGAATTATAATTATTTCTTTATACTTGCCTATGATGAAAACAGAGGAAATCACTGCCAGTTTTCGAAGATTTGGACATTTAGTAGTTGATTGGCCACATAAAGCTGAAAGTAAATCATATTTTCCACCTAAAGGTACAATTAATTTTATTGACATATGTGACAAATAATCTAAATGTTTACATCAACACACAGGTTATGCGTTTCTATTATTTCAGGACGAATCTTCCGTACAAATGTTGATTGATAGCTGCATTCAAGAAGATGATAAACTTTATCTTTGTGTTTCAAGTCCAACAATGAAAGACAAACCGGTAATGCTTATTTTATTTGTTGGTTTTTTCTCAATTAATCCGATATATGATTTAGGTTCAAATTCGTCCATGGCGATTAAGTGACGCTGATTATGTTCTCGATGCATCAATGCCTTTGGATCCAAGAAAAACGGTGTTTGTTGGTGGTGTTCCTCGACCACTTAAAGCTGGTATTTATTTAAAATATAAAATTTCCATTGGATGTGGATTTCATTTCATTTTTGTTTAGTGGAACTTGCAATGATTATGGATCGTCTTTATGGTGGTGTTTGTTATGCTGGCATTGATACTGATCCTGAACTCAAATATCCTGTTTGTATTTCTTGAAATTTGTGCAATTATTGTCATTTTTAACAAAATTTAAAATTACAGAAAGGAGCTGGCCGAGTAGCATTTTCCAATCAACAAAGTTATATTGCAGCAATCAGTGCACGTTTTGTTCAATTACAACATGCTGATATCGAAAAAAGAGTATGTGTTTTGAATGATTTGATTTTAAATATTTATATTTACACTGATTTTTTCATATTTATCAGGTTGAAGTGAAACCATACGTATTGGGTAATTATTAACTTTTTTCAATTATTGATTGATTGATAATCATATTGATCTTATTTAGATGATCAAATATGCGATGAATGTCAAGGAGCACGTTGTAATGGAAAATATGCTCCATATTTTTGCGCCAATATAACTTGTCTTCAATATTATTGTGAAAATTGTTGGGCTACAATTCATTCACGGCCGGGTCGTGAATTTCATAAACCACTAGTGAAAGAAGGTGCCGATCGACCTAGGGCAATACCATTTCGTTGGTGTTAATAAACGAAAGAAAAAGAAAAGTGGTGAAATTTTTTTTTTTTTTTTTTTTTTTGGTTATGTTCAATTTTTTCGATATTGTTTGAATTTCAACTTTTTTTTTTCTTCCCCTTCACACAAAATACACAACACAGACAAACAAACATCGAACATACATAAACACACACACACACCCGATTTTGATGATGAATATTTATTATTATCTATATATATTATTTATCATCCAATAATTTTTTGGTACAACACGTGTTACCAGTCTTTTTTGTTTTCTTGGCTCTCGATTGATTGATTGATCTCCTTTGTTACTTACTTACTTACTTACTTTTGTCTAATCTCTAATTGTCTATAATTGTGGTTTTTTTTCTATTTTCTAACAAAATGCTAGTCGCCTTTTATCTCTCTCTCTCTCTCTCGATTTTTATTTCTCAATCTCATTCTCTATACTTTGACTTGTTTATTTTGGTCAATTTTTTTTTCTTTTTTTTTCTACATAATAATTTGCACAAATATTTTACATGATGATGATCCACAAAACAGACAAACAAACAAACAAAAATACTGATAAAATCTATTTATTTATTTAGTTTTTACTATTTTTTTTTCTCTTTCTCTCTCTCTCTCTCTCTTCTTACTCTCATTCTTTTTAATGAATTATATTTATTTATATTATATATTTACTACACCTATAAATTTACTTATTACCTAATGAAAGCTATTGATTGATTGATTGATTGATTTTTTGTGTTTGATTTTTCCATTTCAATTCCTCATTTCATATTTCATACATAATGATATTATTATAGTATATGGTCAGATTGTTTGTTTTTGTTTTGTTTTTTTGTCTTTATTATTGTTGTTATCCATCTCAATTTATTGTTATTTACAACCACCGTTTTTTTTTGATTATTATCCAGCAATATGATATTTTATATTGACCATCTTGACCATGAAAAATTCCAAGTTCCAGTTTCTTCTTTTTTTTTTGGTTTCTTCCTCGTATCTAGTCAGATTTTGTTTTCCATTTTTTCTATCCCTTGTCAGATACAAAATTGACAATCACCCCATACAACCTCTGTGCAATCTCTTTTTTTTTCTGTTGTTGTTGTTATTGTTTTGATTTAGTCAATTTTTTTCGAATTCACTTTTCAATGATTTTTTTCGTACCATCATCATCAGATTTATATATAGGACAAATTTTATTATAAAAAAAAATTCTAATGTGACTACCACACCAAACACCACTATAATTGATATATTTTTTGACTGATTTTCTTCCGTCAACCACCAACACCAACAAGCAACCATTCACTTTTCTCTCATTTTTCGTCATAAAATAATCATAACTTTTTTTTCTTGCTTTTCCATCGATGAAAAAGCAAAATTTGACAGACTTTTTTCTCTCTCTCTTTTCTAGTTTGTTTTTAATAATGCTAATAATCATCATCACTTATTGATTCTTGATCTTGATACAAAGTACAAAACAACCGACAATTTCGTATGATTTTTTTTTTTGAATCAATTTTTATATATAGTTCAAAACAAACAAACAAACGAATATCAGACCAATATGATTCTTCATATACACACAAAAATATACAAAACCGTGAGAATCGTGTCATTTTTATCATCAATGTTTTTTTTCGTTTTCTGTGGATCATCATCCATTTATAATTTCCCTGATTACATGAATTTTACAAAAAGTTTTACTAAGAAAATGAAAACAAATTTTTTTTAAAATTTTTTATTTAAATTTTTAATGAAAAAAAATTTTTTTCTCCTTCTCACTCAGTTTCTATTTTCATTCATGATTCATTTTTTTTCCTTCTTCCAAATTTTAGTTTGAATCTGATTCTGATTCATTTTACTAGACAACAAATGTGTGCGTGTGTGTGCTATCTCTATATATATAGATCTCCATTGTTTTTCCCACTTCCCCTACTGTCTTACAACCACCTTACAACGTCTGACACACTAACCCCTCTTCCCCACCTGAGAATCAAACTTATCACAACAGTGAAAACAAAAAACATGAAATGAAATTTGTGCAACAGCTACAACAAAATATTTTTTGTCTTTCTACAATCATTATATTATTATTATTGTCATTTATCAATTATTAATTGGATCGATTTTTTTTTTTTTTGCTAATCTATACTATTATTATTATTATTATTATTACCAATCCATTCTCTTTTTTTCTCAATATTTTCTTTAATCGATATAATTGTAAAATTTTCTTTTTTTTCTCTCTTTTCAATTATTATTATTCAACAAGTTGCATTTTTTCAAAAACACAAAATTTCAATTTAAAAAAAAATAATAATAAAAATTCAATTAATCACCAAAATTGCCACCAGATGGTGATGAGAGCAAACAATCGATTGTCATATATATATCGCTTATATATATGATCATAACACGCGCGCGAACTCTGTACAGAAAAAATGGAGAGTGATGAGCAAAAAAAAAAAATGAGTGAGTGATTGATTGAAAAAAAGAAGAAGAAAAACGAAGAGGAGGATGAATGAATGACTGAATGAAGAAGAGCACTACATACAACAACACACGACGTATTTGTAAAAAAAAAAAAAAAAAAAAAAAAAATTTGTTTTTGTTATTCATTTTGATTCGATTTTTTGATTTGATGATGATAACAACAATATATATGCGTGTATGTGTATCTGTGTTCATTGAGTAAAATACTGGTTTTCCATTCATAACATCGACGACATCAACAAAACAACAAATGATGGATCCTAATAGAAAAAAAATCCTTCTGCACATCTGCAAATTTTTTTTTGTTTCTATATCATCTATTGATTGAATGAAATGATTAATATATAAAATTTATAACTCTCTATAATACTGGAAAAAGTGATGAAAAAAAAATTGAAATACTCATCATCATCATCGCCATCGTTTATTTTTATTATAATAAATTGATGAGATGATTGTTGATCAAATAATGTTCATCGTCAAATATAAATATGGTTGTTGTTGTTGTTTCTAACTAACTAACACTGTTCACAATTCAACAATCTCGATGATGATTATCATTATCATCATTATTAATTAAACACAAAATTATCATCATTTCCATTATTATATCTCATTTATTTTTTTTTCCGGTCAAAAATTTACTTCATATCATAACATATATTTTTTTGATATAATCAGTGTTTGTGCCATTTGAAATATTCATTTATCCATTTTCATTTGATTGATTTGTTTTTTGTCAATCAATGTGTTACAATCATTGTTCATCATTATTATTCGATGATATTGTAGAACAAAGATGTTCGACATTGCCAACATGATTGGCATTACTGCTGAACATCTTTGTGAACTTTTAGGTCATTTTCATCATCCATTGACCGATCCACATCATAATCATCACCATCATCATCTTCATCATCTTCATAATAACCATCAGGATAAATTACAGCATTCAAGAATACTTTTGATTGATTGTCGATCATTTCTTGCTCACAATGAATCACATATTGTTCATTCGATTAATGTTTTCTGTCCACCATTTTTAAGGTAATGATGTAAAAAGCCTTGTTTTTTTGTTTATTTTGTTTATATTTTTTTTTTCACACTGACAAACACAGGCGACGAAATGGAACAAAACCATTGTTGAAAACTTTATTTTCCGATAATTTGATTCAAGATCGTCTTATAACTGACTATTATTTTCATGTAATATTGTATGAAGATCATGATTTAACATCAGATTCAATATCATTTTATATTGCACGATGTTTACAAGAGGAAGCTGGGATTAAATATATCAATTATTTGGAAGGTAAGTCTTTTTGTGTTTATCGAATAGTAATAATAATGAATGGTTGTTTTGATAATTATATTCAGGTGGCTTTAATCGTTTCCGTAATCGATACCCTTTATTTTGTACGAATACACCGAAACCGGTGATGTTGACGATGAAACCATCGAAAACAAGAATGATGAATCGAACAAATCGACGGTCCAATTATCAATATATCCATACGTGGCCATTCCGATCTAAATCGAATAATAATAATAATTATTTCAAACCATCGACACCAACATCATTAACATTTTATGATGATTTTCCAAGAATATTTTTTGAGGATCAAACCGAACCTGCCGAATTATTACCGTATCTTTATCTGGGCAATGAATGTCATGCATCGTCGAAAAATTTATTGCTTAACCTAGGCATAACCGCTGTGTTGAATGTATCACAAAGTTGTCCAAATCATTTTGAAGATGAATTCTTCTATAAACGTATACCTATCAGTGATTCTAAATGTGATGACATCACCATTAGGATTAATGAAGCTTTAAATTTTATCGGTATGTATTGTTTCATTTATCAATGTTTTTAACTTACACACACACTCACACAAAATTTTCCTAACAGATGAAATGAAAGAAGATCGAAATGGAAAAATTCTTGTTCATTGTCAAGCGGGTATAAGTCGATCAGCAACAATTTGTATTGCATATCTTATTAAAAAGAAACGTATACGTATGGAAGAAGCATATGAATTTGTTAAATCCCGACGTCAATTAATATCGCCCAATTTTAATTTCATGACCCAATTAATGGAATTTGAAGATCAAATATTTGCCGATAATAAACAGATCTAACAACAAAATATTACGATCCTCATTCATTCATTCATTCATTCATCAACATCATCGAATATATTTACAGACCACCCTTTTTCATTTTAAACAACTAACAAACGATCAACTATACATTTGGTTTTTTTCGATTGTTGGTTATATAAACAACAACAACTAGATCATCATCATCATCATCCATTAAGCTGTTGAATCTAGAATTCTTTTTGATAAATATCTTTCACAGTTTCCACAATATTACCACATTCAAACACAGCCAAATCAACCATCATATTGGTCCATGTTTACGTGTTTTTTGTTTCATTTTTTTTCTACATATAAATAATTAATCATATTGTATCATCATTTTCTTATAATAATTACATATTTTTGTCAGTCTGACATGAAATTTTCTTTATTTTTCTACAAAAAAAACCATCAACCACTAGATAAACACACGAATATATATATACAACATTCACTTTTAAATTATATATTTTTCTAAATATCTATTTTTCAGACAAACAGAACAAACACTAGTCATATTTTTATTTTATCATGTTCTCATTAATTATAATCCATTCATGACATCATCATCATCATCATGATCATACACACGTAACGAACGATTCACATTCATTGATATTTACAAAAGTTAGCGACAAAAAGTGCCTAAATAAATCTATTGAATAAAAATTTGTTGATTTTAATTTGAAAAACAAAAATCAACATCAAATAAATAATTGAACATTTGAATCAATCATTAGCGGTATTTAATTTCAATTTTTTATTTCAAGTGCTGCCATCTGTTAATGGAGAGAAAAGAACTATTGTTTCATTTTCATATTTTTTTTCACTCCAAAACCGTTGATCATTTAAAATTGATGAATGATGAATTTTCTACAAATTCAAAAAAAAAAATTAATTTATTTTTCTTTATTTAATGAAATGAGGTAAATCAATATTAGCTCAATGTGGAGATTAATATAATAAAAATTGTAATTATAATTAGGCAAATCGATCATCATCATCACCATGATTGGCAACCAGTGAATATAATAATAATGATTCAATTATCAAAAATTAGAAAAAGGCAATGGTTTCATTTTTCGTTTCGTATAGAATCAAGCAATGTATCACAATGGTCAGGATTTTTTTTTCTCTTTTGATGATGATTTTGATTTTATGGTACGGATAAATGAATGAATGTGATTTATTAGATTAAAAGCCACTGGTGTATTGTTTTTTTTTTTTCGAAATCGAATGTTTTGAAGTTTTATAATAACGCATTGTCGTGTGTGTGTGTATGTTGAGAATGTATCAATGTATTTTAGGCCTTTTGATTAGCAATAAGTTCATTGACAATAGTGGATAGTCCTTCATTTTCACGATTTTTTTGTTCAATTTGTGATTGTAGTCCATTTACTTTCATTTCAAGAACCTTTACCTGTGCTTTGAGGCTAACAGTTTCATTATTATTCAGTAATCGTTGATTGGCACTGTGGAGAAAAATTCGGAAATATTCAATTAATATCGAATGATTTACTATTTCTGGAAAAACTTACGTTTCAATTGCCTCATCAGCTTGTTGCCGTAGACGAATACAATCATCATGTTTTTCTTTTAGTTTATCTTTTAATTCTTTAATACGATTAGTTTTTTGTAACAATTGTTGATCCATTTCTTTCACTAGCGTACGCAGACTATCATAACGGCTATGAATTTCATAATAATTCTTTTCAACACCATTAATATCTTCTTCTAATTGGCTAATGATCATGGAATTTTTCTTCAATTCTTCATCTTTCATGTCAATATCTTTCTGATTTATGGACAATTTCATTGTTGTTTGATTGATTATTTCTTCATTATACAATAACAATTGTTCCATTAATAATCCTAAATCATCATTTTTTTGTTGCAATTTTTCAATTTTTTCATCATTCATCTCGATATTCTGTTGTTGTAGTGGAGTTAATCCATTCTCATTGATAATCTTATCATCGTTAACAACAATATTTTTGCCATCAAGATTATCATTATTATCATTCGTTTTCATTGGAGTGTTAAGATGAAGAAGATCCTCGCTTCGATTATTAGAATTCAGATCCGATTCATCGTTATTATTATCAACTTGAGGATCTAAACATGAATTATACGTATCATTTGAAGATGGTGGTGTTGCTGTAGCTGCTGCTGCTGCCACTTTCATGGGCGTATCAACCAATGGATCAAATTGTCTATATAACGATATACGGCCAACATTTACAACACGACGATTACCATCTTTATTATATTCCCATTGATCCAATTGTTCGATAAACTGATCAGTGTTGGCGTTGAATTGATTATCATCATCATTTTCATTATTTTCGTTGTTTTCAATCATTTTATCCATTGTTTTTGGATTTAATTCAGGAATAATAATAATATTTTGAAACACAAAATGACCAAAAGTTAACAAATTTTTATCATATACCGCGATTGAATGTGGCAACGAACTAAAAACACAAGACAAGAAAGACAACACAACACAACACAAACCCATTCTGCATCTCATCATCATCGATTTTTTTAATCATGACAGTTAATGGGGTCATTCATAAAGAACGTTATCGAACAGAAAAAAAAATTTGAATTATATTTCATCATCGATTTTTGGTAAATGCCAATTTTATTTAATTTTTTTTCTAATTACAAAATATTAAATTTTTTTTTGTTTGGAATGTTTTGTTTTTTTTTCTAGTCAAGAAAAAGTCTTGGATCATAGCTTGGCTTTGGACTTGTTGGTCGATATTTTTTATTATTATATGGTGAACGAGATCTTGAACGGCTAAATGATTGTCGTTTTTGATGATGATAACGATGAGAATTATGGCTTGATGATGGTGATCGTGAACGATTCCTTCGATGATAATTTCTAGTTTTTTTTTCAAAGAGATTCATTAATATTAATTTTTTCAGAAAAAATTTAAAATTACCCTTCTTTACGAGAATAATATTCATTAGAAATTGGTGAACGTTGTCCATAACTTGTTGTTGAATAATTATTACGTTTTCGCATCTGTGTTGGAGCTTTTGATCATTGATTTGATGGGAAAAAATTTCAAATTTTAGATTATTATCTTTACATATACGACACACAAAAATCAACAATTCTTTAATTACTTTTTCGATCTCCTTGTGCAAATTCTGCGCATAATTCATTGCCCCATAAACGATCATATTTTAATTTTCGTATTGCATATTCAGCATCTTTCAGTCTTTCGAATTCAACATAGGCAAAACCACGAATTTTTCCTGTATAAAAATCTTTTGGTATATAAACATCTTTTACTGGGCCATATTTTTCAAAAATTTCACGTAAATCATGCGATCTGTGTTGATTTTAGTTGATTTTCAAGACAAAAAAAAAATAATTAATGAATTTGTTAATAAAAAATCTAAAACAAACCTTGTCTGAAATGGAACACGTTTTATGAACAAAGAACGATTAGGTTTCGGTGCTGATGAATAATCATATCGATGATGATGATGATGATGATGACTCATCTTTTCTTTTTCAATTTCTAATTGAATTATTCGATATCTTTGATTATCAAACAAAACACTAAACTATCACCAAAAGATCACAAAAAAACGCGTTCGAAATAAGTCAACACACATATATAACACAAAGGGAAATGTAATGAATTCGAACTTTAAAAAAATTTTTTCCTTTTAAACATTCGTTTTCTATTTGCACCGATTATGGTTAACCCAAATAGCCGATAAATGAAAATAATAAAAATTTGTAATTGCATTAAATTTTTTTGACAAAATGTGGCGACATTGTTTTTATTTTATTTATTTAATTTAATAATTTGTAATTCATTAATATCATTATCATAGATAAAAATTGAGAAAAAAAATGTATAAAATCAAAGTGAAATTCAATGGCAAAAAAAAGGAACACAATCAAGATAGTCTAGGTATGAAAGAATGGGATATTATAAAAATTATGCTTAAAAATTAAAAATAAACATCAAATGCAATCGAAAGTAAAAATTATGAAAAAAAAAAAATGCTGAAACAAAATTCATGATTATAAAATATAAATTATATGAAAAATAGCCAAAAGAAAAAAAAACAATGATGATCAACAACAACTTTTTCGAATCATTGTTTTACCACCACCACCACCGCCACCACCAGCACAGACACCAACACTACCGGTAGTAGTAGCACTATTATTATTGCTATTACTAGCATTGGAACAATTATGACAAAATTGTAATGACATTTCACAATTTGGTTTAACATGAAAACAGATTCCAGCATTCGAATTATCCTTAGAAGGATTTTGATAATGAACATTGGTGGTGTGAGCAGCAATACTGTGGTTGTTTCCGTCCATTTTTGTTGTTGTAAATGTTGATGATTTCAATCGTTTTTTAACATGATGGTGGTGGTGATCATCATCATTCATCATATTGAATTGTTGATCATTATTGATATGAACACTATTCAATCTAATTGTTGGTAATTTTTTCATGTGTTCAATCAATTCCATTATTTGCGGTGTTTGCCGTAGAATTAATTCCAGATAATTTACTCGATTTTGTGTTTTGTCCAATATATTTGCCATTCCATCGTACATTTGTTTATATTGAGCCAATTCTGATTCCAATTTTTCATTACGATTAATTAATATTTGCATTTCAGTTTTCTTTTTGGCACGATTTTGACGTGCAGCAATTGCATTTGGATTCATGCATACAATTTTTGTTGATTTTTTTGATGTTGATCTTCGTCCACCATTATTATCATTAGAAATGGTAGCTGTTGTTTTTGATTGTTGTGGTTGATTTATTGTCGATAATGAATATTGTGAGATCAAATCATCATTATCATCATCATCATCATCATCATCATCTTGATTATTAGTCAATTGATTATTATTATCATCATATTGATTTTGGTCTTGTAATTGTCCAGCAATATTCGCTACAAATTGAACATTTTGTTCAAATTTTAAATTCTGTTCATATAATGGCGAAAATATTGGCTGTTGCTGTTGCTGCTGTGGCCGAGATGGATCAACTAGTGTTTGTTGTAGCTCATTAACATTAGTCAATGTTACTAATGATGAAAATTCATCTTTATTTTTAATAATTGGATTAATTTGTTGCTGTTGTTGTAGTAGTTGATGTTCATCAACAAGTGTAGTATTAAAGTATAATGTTGGCTGAATCGATGCTAAATCCAAATTGTACATGCAAGTAGAATCTAAATTTTCAAATAAAAATGATTCTGATGAGGATTCAATTGTTGTTGGCATTCCAATTACATTACCATTCCAATCCAATGGATCAGTAGCAATATCAGCAGTAGTAGTAGTAGTAATTATTGGTGACGATGGTCTATTTATTAATACATTTGTATCTGATGATGATGATAATGGATCTTCATTATCACGATGACTGATACATGGTGTCGGTGCATTCCATAAATCATAATTTGTATCATTAAATTGTTCATCAACCAATGATTGTTCCAAAGCCATTATTGATGTCGGTGATAATAGCGATAAAATCGGTGATAATATTCTCTGTGAATTGTTGTTGTTTGATTCCAGATTTCTGGTTTCTATATCAATGATGATGATTAAATAGAATTTGATTTGTTATCAATAAAAATCGATTCGTTCACAAAATGGCCTATGACCGATATATACCAACACCAATCAAAATGATAAATGAAATGCAATGATTGAAAATCAATCACAACGTGTGTTTGTGTGTGTGTGTGTGTGTGCGTGTGTGTGCGTCCGTGTGAAAGGCTGAAATGAAAATGATAATTTTATTTCTTGTAACCATTCTTTACGTTATACAAACGTTTTCTACCCCAACATGAATGCATACAATACAAGTGAATAATATTACCGACCACCATAACAATAGATACAATTAGATATTACGCGCATGTCTTTAAGATCTTTTTGTTGCCAACCGGTGGCAATATTGTTAAGCATTGCATCATTGACAGAATAATGATTTCATCATTATCTGTTATACATTTCATCATTTTAAGCTTTACGTTATACAAACGTTTTCTACCCCAACATGAATTGAATTAGCAATAGATACAATTAGATATTACGCGCATGTCTTTAAGATCTTTTTGTTGCCAACCGGTGGCAATATTGTTAAGCATTGCATCATTGACAGAATAATGATTTCATCATTATCTGTTATACATTTCATCATTTTTAAGAATTTTATTCCCGATATATGATGATGATGATGATGATGATATGATAAAAATAATAAAATGAATTGTGGTGAATAATAATTTGCATAATAAAACAAACAAAAATGAACAACAACAAAATCCAACAACAACAAGTTGTATATGTCAAAAATTTTCAAAATGATGTTTAAATATAATTCCCTCTTTACGATTCAATTGATCACATGCTTGTTGTACACTATTTGTCATTGGATTTGGTCCACAACTGAATACACCAACTCTTTCGACCTGTGATATATCGAAATCGAAAGGGGTAGAAAAAAAATTTATGAATATTAAAAAAAAAGGTTAAAAATAATAATAATATTTATTTACATTTCGATGTTCATATTGTAATGATTCCAAAAAAACTTTAAAATTGGGTCTACCAAAATGTGTTTTCGCTTGTAAACCGGTGAATAAACTTTTGTTGGAAATACGTTGAAAATGACGTTCACAAATATACTACAAACAAAGAGCAAAAATTTTTTTGGGTAAGAAATTATTAATTTGATGAATGAATGAATGAACCTTACCAACATTGTTGTTCTTAGATCAAATTTTTCATAAAATTGTGTAATGAAAATATGTGTGACCAATAAATTATTGAAATCTTTTTCTTCTGCTTCACGTATTACATCGGACATCCATTCAAAATGTTTTTGTGTACGTGTTACCCATAGAAAATAGACTTTTTTACAATTAATCTTGGCATTTATGCTTGAACGAAATGTTATATCTTTGATAATAGATGCAAATGGTGTAATACCGATACCGCCGCCAACCAGCACCGATACATCGAAACGAAACCAATCCTGGTGGCCTTCACCATATGGTCCATCTAGATACAGTTTAGGATATGGTCTTCCATTCAACAGGTTATGATCATACATTTGGCGAATATTTTTCGTGAATGGTCCAATCGCTCGAATATAAAGTGAAAGTGTTGATTCATGTGGTGCCGATGCAATGGTGAACGGATGATATTCCCCTGGATTCAAACCTAAACAAGCTATACGTAACCATTGGCCGCTTTTATAATCAAAATTTGGTGGTTTTTTAAACTCTAAATGTGTAACATTCGATGGATGTAATGTTGCTTTTACGACGGATATTTCAATCTTTTTTCGACTTGCACTAATCAATCGATCAATAGTGAATAATGTCTGGATCGAGAAAAATAAATAGAAAATGTTAATTTAAAGAAAATAAATAAATAAATGACAACGAACCAATGGAATGACAAAATAAAAATAGAAAATTGGCGGTTGAACCAATCGTCCCAAGCCATGTAATATCATCAATAGATAGAATAATGGATAAAGGCTATGTGTTATCCAGAATGCATTGAATATATGACGACGTGAATATGGTATAGCAAAAATGTAAATAATGAACAATAAACATAGTAAACTGAAACCAGTTAATCCAGTCAATGTACCGAATACCCAATGATGAAATTTTGGCATTTCATTTGAACTATTCAATCAATGAAATGAGAAATAAATAGAAAAAAAAATTCAAATTCATCATAATGATGATGCAACATACGTGAAATAAGTTTCCGATAGAATACAATTCAAATCAGATGGACGTTGTGTGGATATATGATAAAAATTACTAACATGACCAAATGAATGTAGAATGGCCATTATGAATGCCAGGAACGCAATGTATTTATGAAATGCAACAACCGAATCAAATGGAATATAGTGATGTAAAAATGTTTCTCGTATTACCGTTATGATATTACGACACATTGTCAATAGAATCGTTGAATAGGTAAACATCATTACACTTGCCGAACCACGTGTTATTGGTATGCCCATTCCGGCTATTTGGCGAAGTCCCGATGATTCATTTAGATTGGCATAATAATAAGCTTTATCCAGAAAAATAATCATTGCAATTAGATTGTAGAAAATCAGACAGAATATTTCTTTCTTTTTTGCATCAAAAAATCGTATCCATGATACAATCCAATCTGGTTCACGGGAATTTTCTTGTGTTTCAATTTTTAAAAATGTTGGCACTCGATTAATTCGAGTGAAATCTGGCCCATTACTGGCATGACCACCAAAATAACTGCGAACAATTGTATCGTTTGCACGAATTATTTTACTCTGTCTTTTATTCGATTTCATCATCTGTTGTGGTAATTTATCCAAACTGGACAGATCAAAATTCAATTCAGTATAACCTAATTCTTCTTTATAATTATGAAATAAACGACTAAAATCTTCAAATGTAAGCTCTTTTTTAGCTGTGAAACCATTTTCCAATAACATTGATTGTATTGTTTCATTCATCTCTATTGATGATACACTTTGATTAGCAATTTCCAGCAATGATTTAATCATTGCACGAAAATCATCGATAGATAAACGACCAGTTTGATTCATATCATACATATCAAACATGATACGAATTTTTTGTTCAGCTGAACCTTTTGCAAATATGATGATTACATCCAAGAATTCACGAAACGATATATAACCATTATTGTCTTTATCGATCAAACGAAACATTTGCTGCACGAATGTAGCATCCGGACGCATTGATAATACCTCGGCGAATTCAAATTGTGTTAATTCTGTTTCGATAATTTCTTTGGCCGATTTCAAATCTAAATTGCCAATTTTATCCGGTTTTCGATTGAAAGCCTGTGTGAATACGACACGAAAAAATTTTTCCAAATGTTTTTGTCGTTTACATTTAGTATATGCTGATCTGAATATAAATCTCAATTCTTTTGATGATCGTTCCATTTGATAATGAATTTCATTTAGAAATGTTTCAAATTTTGTCAGAAATTTTTCCCGTTCATAATATGAATCAAATTTCAATACAAGATCATATTCTTTTGGAAAACGAATCAACATATGATTTTGGCATCGATTTGCACTTAGTTCCACCGATATTTTTCCAGCACTTTTTTTGAGATAAATACTACGTACAATACGATTTTCATATTGTAATTTCACAACGATAGCATGAATTTTTGAATTTAAAATTACAATCGTATTACGATAACCATCACTGTTATTGCCAAGCCATTCTTGTACCAATGTACTATCATCATTGATTGTCATACGACGAAGTTTTGACACTTTTATACGTTGACATTCGGTTTGACGATTACGTCGATGTAACAATAATTTTAATATGATAATCAACAATATAATAAACAATGGTATGAATAGAATGGTGGCGATAAATGATAATTGACTGCCATTGAAATAATCATAACATTGTCCATTGGTACAATTTTCCATTGATTCAATTGTTTGAAATGTTGCCAGTGTTAAACATTTTGTTTCCGTTGCAGCAGTTGTATCACATGGATAAACACGAATCAATTTCCGTAGGCTCTCGAAACATTTATCCGATATGGAATTTTCATCATCATTTTCCATTGTTGGTAATTTAAATGCAGCAGGTTGTATTAATTCATCTGTAAATTTTGTAATCGATCTGATTATGTCGGAAAATTTAATCTGTTTCAACATTCGTATTTGATATGAATCGAATAGGCCATTATTTGTGTTTTCAAAATACAAACGATCACCATTACGAAGACGTAGAAATTGTTCAATGAAAAAATATTTTATCAATGGACCCGGTTCTTTACCATTATTCTCTAATAATGCGCCAACAATTAGATCAATGTTGGCCACATTATTTCGATATAATTGTGATAATTTCCTTTCTAATTGATGATTCAAACGTCGTGGATATGACCATTGTGTACGTGATAATTGTTTAAATGATCCATATGTAATATTCTGATCAAGACCAATTTGTTTTCTTATCGATAGATAATCAGGTGTACCAAAATCACGAGAATATTGTAGAAGAATAGCGATTAAATTTTGTCGAGTAAAATCTGCTGCTGTTCCTTTGGAATACATAAGAATATCTTCAACAATATAATGATCATCACGTTGTGCACTTTGTAATAATAATCCGACCAGAATTTTTTCGAATCCACCACGTACTACATAATTTAATGGCTCAAAATATGTATTACATGTACGTAGGATTGAATAACGGAAATTTTTTGAACATTCTGTACCCAATTTGAATACAAATGGTGATATCAATGTATAATGATAAACATTGGATAGAATTTCAAATAAATCACTAATTTGTGGATCAATCATTGGATCATATCCATGATACGGTGGCAGTGTTTCACCAATGAATGATGGTAGCCATTCATTGAACACAATATGCTGTATTGTAGCGATTGTATATTTTCTTGCTTCATCATATATAGCTTGATCGGATAGATTTGGATTTTTTTGATAAATTAATTCAGCAATCAGATTATGCCAATGAATCCATATGAAATGTATGGTCAATAAAAATGGATTTTCATTTATTGGATTATCACCAAAATCTAAAACGAAAACAAAAATTTATGAACAAAAAAAAATCATTATCATTATTTTCAAAACTTACAATTAAAACATTCTCGACCAAATCGATGGTTCGATGATGATTGATGATGTTTAGTATGATCGATTAAACGGCCACGTTTATATGTACGAAGAAAATCGGCACAAAATTTTGAATCACCATATACAAGTTCACCATCGATCCAAATGCTACGAAAATTCATTTTACTCGGCAGATATTCGGTGGACGATTCGGATAATTTACAATGTTCAATTTCATTTAAAAACATAAAACTATGTCCAGGAGTACTAGGGCGATATCGCACTTCATTTCCAAGACGATCCAGATATGTTTTCGGCAACGGAATTTTTCGATAATTCGGTGGACATCTTGGACGCCATGTATACATCATTTCATTCATGATAAACATGCCAAAATATACGGACATTAAATTCTTACCATTGACGGAGAAATGAATTTGATTATCTTTGAAAATTGATTCACTTAACATAAAAATGTTGCTAGTCATATTACTATCAACCGATGGTTGAGATAATTTTGGAAACATCAATCGTTTCAATGGTGAACCTTTTGAACCAAGATCTGGTTTATTTAAATCATGATACCAGCCATCATAACTAATGAATTCATTCGAAGATCCAGTGGAACCCAATGGAAAATTCTTGAATATTCGTAATAATGATCCACTAATTTCATCATCAAAATCACCATCAATCGTTGTATGAGTTGTTTTCGATTCATTTGCTTTTCGTAAACGTTGCATAAACAATGGAACCATGGCAGATGATTGATTTGATAGAATCATCAATATCAATATTATAGCACCATAATTAACTACACGACTATCCATGATCAATGATGAAATGATGAATGAATGAATGTGAATAAAAATTAATTGAATCAGAGAGGAAATTCTTTTTTTTCTATACAACTGAGGATACTGTTGTTGTCGTGATATAAAATTTCCATGACAGGAAATTGGTGTGCCATCATCATCATCATCATCATCATCATAATCAAACTTGAATTGCAATGGCCAAATTTCAGTAATTCTACAAAAATGAAAATTTACAGTAATCATCTGTTTATCCGAATTTTCATATATAAAATAATCTTACCATTAATTTTTTTTTTCATTTTATTTGTTTCCTTGTTCCAATGAATACAAGAAAACTTTCATCCTTGAATTATGCAAACGGAATACAATGGAAAAACCGCAATAGCAATTTTATTTTATTTTATTTTTACTTTTAATATTTGTTTGTGATAACACACAATCCACATAGATGAAATGAAATTTATAATATTTTTGTTAATTCGGATTCATAAATCATAAAATTAAATAATAAAAAAAAAATTAGAATGAATGCACGAATAAAGAATATTATCTTACATGAAAATTATAATTTAGATCTTTTAATAGGAATATTATTTTCCGATGTTGATGTTATTCGTTCTCTGGTGGATTTTTGATGACATCGTAAAGCTGCTACTGCTGCTGGCGTGGCTCCTTGTATAATTTTTTCATCCAATTTAACATTTTGAAATTCCACTGGATATGATGTACGAAGATGTGGTCTAAGCAATTTATTCCGGTGTCTCAATTGATTTATTCGTTCCTGTGGAAATGGTGTTGCCAATGGTGGCTGTGCTGGTTGTGATCGATGATGCATTTCAATTTTATTTGGATCCATAAATTCTCCTTCTTCATCAGCCATTTCAAATTTGATACCTTTTACTTCGGGTAGTTTATTATTATGTTTTTGATTTACATTTGATGGCGATGAAGGTATCACAAATGTTTTAGATTTTTGTCTCGGTAAATTAATCTGTGGTGTTTCCTGATTAATTAACTGATGATTGTGTTGTTGTTGTTGTTGTTTATCAGTGACATTAGATTCCAATTGAGCAATTGTTTTCTTTAGCTTTCCGATTTCTCTTTCCAGGTCCAAGTTTTCTTTGAGCAATCGATCTTTAGTTTTTCTTTCGGCCATAAATGATTGCTGCTCAATCAGATATGCATTATGAAGATTTTTTCTTTTCATTTCGATTTTTTTCGCTTCTATTTTCATAGCTTCCAATTCTTCGGTAAGTTTTGCACTTTTTTCTCGATAATTTTCATCATTATTTGTAGCATTGATTTTTTCACGATTATCATCAATGATAACCAATAGGCGTTTGATTTCGTTTTTAGCTTCATCATATTCTGATTGTAATTTTTCGGTTTGTTCCATTTGAACGGTGTGATTATTTTCAAGTTTTTCAATCATTAATTTCGATGTTTGATTTTCTTGTTGAATTTTCGTGTTGTCGGCACAAATTTCTTCTAATCGAATTTCTAACGTATGTTTAAAATGTGATAGCAATGATATTGTTTTCAATTGTTCATTGAAAACATTGATAATCTGACTACAATTATTGTGGATTTCATTTTCAAATTTTTGGGTAAAATTTTCATGATTATCTTTCATTGCTACAAATGAACTTTTGACTTTATTCAATTCTTCATCCACTGATTGTTTCCAACATTGGATACGTGTTTTTTGTTGCAATAATTGTTGGTTTTTTTCATCACACAGATTTTTCAAACGATTCATTTCAATATTCAATGAATTTATTGTTTCTTCAGCTTCTTTTTGCGATTTCATGGCCAATGTTTTCTCATTTTGTACGGTGGATAATTTATGTTCGAGATCTTTTTTTTCCACCACTAGATTACGTATATCTTCCTCTAATGAATTGATTTTAATATCGGCAACAGTTTCACCAACCATCTCTTGCATAGAAACATTATTCAAGTCCGATATCGAATGATCAAATGAATAATTGAATGAAATATTTCTTTTGATATTGATGGAATATTTTTCTTTTAGCTGCGATATTTGAGTTTCAAGCGTTTTGACCAATTCTTCATAATCGGACATTTTTTCACGTTGATTATTGATAATACGATCCGATTGTAAAAGCTCTTCAGATAGAGTGGAATTTTTTTCTTTCAATAATTTGAAATCATTTTTATATTTTTCCAATTTTTTAATTTCATCATCTTTCTCATTGATTGATGTATAAAGATCATCGACTTGACGTTGAATACTTTGATTTTCACTTTGAATAAATTCATATTTTTGACGAATATCATCATATTTCTTTTGTAGAGATTCAAATTCTTCTTTCAATCCATTATATAAATCGATATCGACATTTTGATCACGAATTATGGCCAATGTTTCACGTTGATTTTTAATTACATTTTCTTTGTCATGTATGATTTTATCTTTTTCTTTAAGAAACATTTCTAAATCATCAATTTTCATCAACAATTCATCTTGGATATCCCTAAAAAAAAAGAACAACAATAAATGATACATATTTGATTCGATCAATCATAAAAAATCACTTACATGATTGGAAAAAAAGAATTTTTCAAAAAAAAAAAACAAAAAAAAATGAGTTGTTTTGATTTTTTTGAACAAAACATCGAACATGCATATATATGCATGCAACCAATGTTCGAAGAGAAAAAAAAACCAACCGTCATTCATTCAAACACACTGCAAAAACTCGAACGCTAATGCAGAGTGTACACGTGCGAATGATGGGTGTCCACTCACATATACACACACACAATTATCATTTGGAAAAATTCAGAATAGAAAGATTGTTATTGTGCGAATATTTAATGATAATAATATATGTTCCGATGACAAAAATTGTAAATGGATGCAAGTGGGTTTATCATCAAATTGATGAATTAAAATTTAAAAAAAAAAAAAAAAATTAAAAAGATAAAATAAAACAATTTTTTCATCTTTTCCGAGAAAACAAAAAAAAAATGATCAAATGAATGTATGGGAGAAAAATTTGATTTTTCACGAAAATAAAATTATTATTATACACCGTTTTTGTTTGTTTGTTTGTTTGAAGAAAAACATTCATTGAATATTAAAACCAGAAAAATAAATCCGTTTCATCTTTCATTATTATTGCTGATTGTAGTGGATATTTCAATCACTCGAAGTCCTCTTTCAATTGGATCGGTGACGTGTAAACCACGAGGATGGAAAACAATGTCATTTTGTTCATCAATGTATGCGGATATTTTTTTTAAACACTGCGAATAATAATAATAATAATATAATAATAAAACATTACAATTTACAATGAAATAAAAATTTTACAAACAAATTTACCTTATCGAAATATGTATCAAAACATAAATATGTAAGATAAGCGGTGAGACAAGCAAAACAGCTTTCCATACAGACTTTTGCATTCATTTGTTCTGCTTCACCGTACATTGTATTCAATGTAATGATAAAATCTGTATATGTTTTAATATCAATCTGGACAAGATAAATAGAATATAAATAGAATGTAAAATAAACGAGAAATAATGGGAATTTACCTTATTTTTAAAATCCTTATCCTTATTATCCTTATCATCTCTGAATTCTTTTGGAAATGTTGTATCAAAACGAATGTTTGTTCCTTGACTATAATCTCTTTGGATGAATATTTTTTTCACTGTATTCATAGTCGACGATGGTTTTGCTTGATGATCCATAATGATGAATCAATCGATCTATCCGATTGATTGATTAATTCAATAATGGGAATGAAAGAACAAAAAAAAAATTTGTTTGTTCAAAATAAATTATTTGTACATTTAATTAATAAATATGTGTGTGTATATTTACGTCAGAAAATTTTTTCCAGAATTTTGGCTCACAAATTGAACCGAGAAACTTTTCGGGCAATGAAAATAATTTAAAAATTTTCCTGAAAATAAATAATTATCATGTGAGGATAATAAATGCAATGTTTGTAAAATAAAAAATAAAAATTATTATTATCATTGATTGATCATAAATCAGCTGTAGATCCTTTCCATGAAATTTGTTTCCATTCTTCAGAATAATTTGGTCCAGCCATTCTTTCAATAGCATTCAATGGTGGTAATGATGATATCATTGAATTACTACAACCATTACGTATAAATCGATTCAATTCATCTTGAGTATCGAAAATCATAACGAAAAATGGTGATCCAGGTACATGTTCACCGGCCCATTTTACTTCGATTCTATAATCACCTGGTTCGGTTGGATCATATTTGCAATAAATCGTACGATCTTTTTGGCTTTCACGTTGCATTTCAACTTTGAATGCACCTTTTGGACCACGAATTCGAACTGTTAATTGGCCAGCTCCAGCACCTTTAGTATCACACATAAAGTGACTTTGATAAATTGGCAGCACTCCATGTTCAATGCCGGGACCAATCACACGAACTTTGCTAGCATCTGGTGCTGAATAGATTCGCATTAAAAATGGTGATCCTAATTTCAAAGAAAGAAAAAAATTATTCAATGAATTTATCAATGAAAATCGTCAACAACTTACCGATTATATGTTGACCGCCATATTTTATCGTCAAGGTATGTTTACCACCTTCTTGAGGATGAATTAATAATGTAAATGTTCCATCATTTTGATCATATAATTCACAAATGGCAGCTTTATTCGGACCAACACATTGAGCACTTAGTTCACCTGGACCAGCACGTCGTGTATCGATGAATGCTTTAATCTCTTTACCAATTGTACCACCTTTAAGTCCATCACCAGTACAAATAACTCTTTTTGCATCACAACTAGGTAATATTGGAACCTTAAGTGGACATCCTTTTACTTGTTTCTGATTCCAAAGTACATTCAATAGATAGGTTCCTGGAATTCTTGGCTCATATATCGCTTTATATAATCGAGGACCAATGGCAACCAATTTAACTTTGATATCAGATTTAACACCCGTCAACGAAACGTCTGGTTCACCATCACCAGCATCTTTTCCATCAATAACGATTTCAGCTTCTTCACCAACTCTAGCACCGGCAAGACCATGGCCGCGAAGTACAACGGTTACACCTTCCATACTATTTTCATTGACAACGGCGTGTATAGGCATTTTAGGTAGAAGAAAATTTTCAAAATAAACAAAAATATCGTATTCGCCTATGGTAAAGATAAAAAAAGGCATCAACATCAATGAATGTTATTGAACTGAAAAAGAAATTTACCACAAAATTTTGGCTTAAAAATCACTTTATATTTATATGATCCTATTTGTTCCAATGGTAATAACTCTTCTGAATTTTGGCTGTTGTTGTTTTGATGTTTGATTTTAAGGTTCAATTTTCCTATACAATAAAATTACATGTTGTAAATAAAAAAAATAAATAAACAGAAAAAAACAAAATTTTTTTTTTGTACAAACCTGTTCCAGCTTCACTAATATCAAAAATCAATTTCTTTTCTTCACCAATACAAAAATTCAATCTATTATGGCCGTCTAAAATGTTTTCCCATCCACCGATTAGACGGACTTTTTCAATGTTGACAATATGTGGATGAAATGGACTTTCTATTATGATAATAAAAAGGTTAATGTTTGTTTTCGTTGTTGTTGTTTACAAACAAAACAAAACAAAACAAAAAAACGAAAAAAATTTTCAATTTACCTGGAATCTCTTGACCATTCCACAAGACTTTTATGTCGAAAATGCCAATTTCCAATGGTATATAGGTAATCTTATAAATGTCATTACATTTTTCAATCGAAAATGATGTTTCACTTTCTGGACCTAGTGTTTTTTTCCATTTTAAATATATTATATAAACACATATAACATATAGAGATATTTACTTACCATCAATTTTAATTTCAGGTGAACCATAAATATCTTTGGCATCGATAATGAAAAAACAAGGCTCATTTATCATACCACAATAGAGACCGTTGCCAGATATTTTCGGTAGAATACTTTCTTGTGCAAAAAACGTTATCGGACTATCTGGTATTTCAACATTACCATAGGTGATGGCGATTTTATATTTTCCTGGTACCGTTGGAACAAATTCAATCAATTCACCTTCACCATTGGGCATTCCTTTCACTTCAATAGGAAGATGACGACCCAATGGACTGGTCACCGTAACATCCAATTCAGCGTAGCCAGCATTTTTTCTATTTACTAATTTTTTTTTGAAATGAAATAAATTTTTTAAAAAAATTTGGCCAAAAAAAAAAACAATCAACTTACAATGTAAAGTGATTTTTTTGTTAATAACAAAACTTGATGATTCAATTGGTTCAATATTCACTTTGGATGCATCGAATATTTCACATATAAATGGTGAACCAATCACTGGCTTAGCATCATCGCCACGAAAAACTTCAATTTTATGTGAGCCAATTTTTTTCGGTAACCATTCCACTAAAAGGCAACCATTTTTCTGTTGATAACATTTAACTGGCAATGGTGATCGTGTAATAGGCTCGGTAACAATGATATCAAAATCATTAGCAGATAAATCTTCGCTTTCAATGAAAAATATCGCTCTTTCATTACAATGGGCCGATTTCAATCCTTCACCATAGATAATGATTGATTCAAGATGTGCAGGTTGAACTTTAACGATGAATGGTGACCCGATCATTGGATATTTATTATAATAAATTTCAATACGATAAATATTAGCCATTTCAGGTATGAATGAAAATCGATGTAATCGTGATTCAACGTTATCCTTGGTTTTGAATGGAACATCCTGATTATGATCATGATCGCTAATAATCTTGACAAGTAAATCTCCATCGCCTGCTTTTGAAGTGTCAACATTGAATTCATATTCTTTTCCTTGTAAACAATTTGCGGGCATTGAAACTTGAATTTGATTTGGATCAACGACGCCAATAAATAATGGTTCTTTCCATATTGGTTTATCATTGTCAAAAATTTCGATTTTATGTCTGCCTACCAGTTTAGGCAGATATTCCAATCGAAAATTTTCCTCATCCACTTTTATCAATGATCCAGTTATTTTTGTTTTATTTGGCCCAACGATCATTGATCGAATATTCGATGATGATGATGATTGTTGACGAAAATTCACTAAGTTGATTTGATTCACACGTCCAGTTAAAGTCCGTCGATCTTCCATTGTAGCCGTTGTTGTTGTAGTGGAAACAGGTGATTTTATAATTTCAATATCGAAAGGACTACCTGGAACATCTTCATCATTAAATGTCATATTTAGATAATGTGGCACACATTCTTGAGGTATAAAAGTAACATCATAAAGTCCACGACTTTTCATCAATACTTCAGCACGTACGGAGCTATTATCAGTGGATATAACCAATTCTAATGTACCTTCACCTGCCTGTGATGCATCCACTTGAAAGGTAAATGGTTTGCCCAACGCGCATCTGTTCAATTGTCCAAGTTTGATTCGGTTAACATCATAAACATTACTGGTGAATGGACAACCAGGCACTGGTAATCCATCCAACGATATAATCATTTGATGTGGACCAATTTCCATAGGTTTAAATCGTACATTAAAATAATTGGGTAACTTTTCCACCACAGGATTAACGTTTTTACGGCTAGGTGTTGTTATTATGATTTGACATTGTTTCAATTCATTATTTGGATTTTCTATACGAAATTCTACGCCTTTGTTTAATGAAATATTCTTGATTGATGAATCAGAGAATAGGGTTCCCAATGGATTATTTGCTTCAAATACTTGAACGGTGAATGGACTACCCGGTACTGGTTCACCATTAAATTTACAACTAATCATATGTAATGTTGCTTCTGTTGGTTTGAAATTAACACGAAATTTTGCATTTCCTTCTGATTGTACATAATTCGGTACATTTCGGCCATTCGATGATACAATAATCTCCAGGTTTCCAGCACCAGCTGGACTAGCATTTATGGAAAAATAAATTGGTTTGCCAACAAAACCATTTTTGATATCGGTAACTTTAACTTTTTTTGCATCATAAACTTTTACTAAAAATGGACAACCAGGAATGGAATTGCCACCAATTTTTATATCAATAGCATGATCACCAACTTCTTGTGGATTGAATTGAATCTGATAACCATTTAAATGATCACCTAATAATATTGGTTTTAGATTTTGATGTGATGGACCTGTTGAGTTAAAGGTGATAAATTCGATTATTATACATTCGATTACATAAAACATGGATCATCATCATACTTAGAATGACAATGGAATTTTCATTCAATAGGCCACCATTTGTATCGACCGTAATTTGTGATACTTTATTGACGGCCACTTTTTCCAATGGTTGAAACATGACCACTTTTTCTGCATCAAGTATTTTACAACGAAATGGTGAATCTAAATGGTGAATTTTTTATGTGAAAAAAAACAATTTTGACAGACAAAGAAAACTTACTTTCAACATTTTTTCCATTGAATTTAATTTCGATAACTAAACATTAATAAAAAAAGGGAAAAATCAGGTTGAGAATTGAAATGAAAAAATAAATTTACCATGAATTTCTGGATCGATCGGTACAAATGAAATGGCATATAAACTAGGTCCCAATGATTTAGGCGTGGATGGAACTTTTCCATTATTAACAATCACTTCTAGATTTCCAGGTCCAGCATTTGTTGCTTCAACTTTTTTTTTTTTTTCATTGCCATAACAAAAAAAATAGAATAAAAATAAGATGAACATTTTGAAATTATTATTATTATCTCTAAAAAGGTAAATTTACAAACAAAACAAAACAAAAAAAAACAAACCTAAAAAGGTAACCATCTTTCCCATACAAATTTCATCTGGGATATCTTTTACTTTGATTTTTTTGATATCATAAATTTTCGTCAAGAAAGGCGATCCTTGTATATGTTCGCCTTTATATTTAAGTTGAATTTTATATTCGCCTAAATAATGGAAAATTTCAAATCATGACAATGATGATGATGATGGACATATATACCTGGCATTTTTGGCAAAAATTCCAAATGAATACATTGATTTTGTAAATCTTTGATAATGTTGGCCGAAATGACTTGATTATTTCCATCTATTAAATTTTTCGGAACAAAAAAAATTGTTTATGAATCACAAAGAAAAATTTTTCTCTTTATTCGTACCTTGTACTTTGGCTATGATATCATTCTCCGAATCAACATTATGTATGGTGAGACGCGCAATTTGATCGACTGGTGAATAATGTAATGCCGATCCGGTTACAATCGGCTTATCGGTTGATGGCAGAACATTGACCAAAAATGGATTGCCTAATTTTAAAAAATGATCAAATCATAGATGTCAGTGTCAATCAACAAAACAGAGCAAAAAACAAAAACAAAAACAAACCATTGACAGCAATATTATTGAATGTAATGGAAACAACGTGATCATTAGATTGTGATGGCGTGAAACAGACACCAAATTTAGCACCACCAATTGGTTGTACTTGTGTTGGCACATTTTTTTCATTGGTTACCACAGATATTTCAAGATTACCTTCACCAGCATATATAGCATCGACAATAAATTGTATCGGTTTCCCTACACAACCATTTGTCGGTGCTTGAACAATTACTTTGGTTGGATCAAAACTTTTAATTAAATATGGCTGATTAAAGACTAGTTTGGCACAATATTCAAAATTAATAGCGTATAGACCAACTTCATTCGGTATGAATTCACATAATACAATTGGACCATATGTTATATTCACGGGCAACGGTTCATTCGATGATGGTGATAGAATGATAATCGAAAAATTTTTCTTTTCCAATCGATAATTACCACTATCGATTGTGAATCGAACAGGAAAGCCCACCTGTATTAATTCAATTTTCGAAAGATCAAATTTTAGATCCGGAAATTCTTGAACACGACAAACAAATGGACAGCCGATAATGTTTTCATTGTTGAATTTTATATCCACTACATGTTCCACCAGTGATTCTGGTTTGAAACTTATCAAACATTTTCCATTGCCCAATACTTGTACATGATTTGGTACTTCACCATCATTTATGGCAATTTCCAGTTGTCCTTCGCCAGCACTGGATGCATCAACTTGTATATTGCATTTTTCGTTCAAAATTATCGTCTTTGGTATATCAGTCAAGGTAATTTTCGTTAAATCATATGCTTTGGCCGTAAATAAATGAATCATTGTATTTTTATAGAATATTTTAAATTCATAAGTTCCAACCGCTTGGGCAGTGAATAAAACACGATACACGTTATCCGGTTCTTCAACGATACGATAATTTATTACGGATGAAATTGTTGAATCCAATATCGATACGGATAAATCTTCCATTGAGATGATCATATTTTTAACACTAATTGTGAACGAAGTAGATACGTTGACTTTGAAATTTTCAATAGATTCAATATGAAATGTACCGCTTGATTTTTCATCTTCATCTTGATCATCATTGCCATTATGTTGATGATGTTTAGCGCCGTTTGTAGTAGATGTTGCAGATTGCAAATGAAATGGTGATTCTGGCAAACTTTCACCATTGAATCGTACATCGATGATTGAATTGGATTGTTTTGGTTTAAATATTACTAAATATCGTGTTTTACACAACGATTTCAATGTACAAGGAACTGATCCATTATCAATGAAAACTTCAACATTTCCAACACCAGCATTGGATGTATCGATTTCAAAATGAACGTCATGTCCAATTTTCAAATTATTTTCATGGAAAAATATCACTTTCACTTGATTCAAATCATAAACATTCCATACGAACGGGCTACCTTTGATGGGTTGATTATCAACATCAATGAATACTGTATGATTTCCAACCATTATGGGCATGAATTCCAATTTATATGAACCACCATCATCACCAGGTGTTGGTTCAATTCGTTTCAAAATTGCCGAAAGTTTTTGTTGCAATGGATCTTTAACAAAATATGATAACAAATTTGAATCACCAAAATTATTATTGATTTCTAATTGTGCCAGTTTTCCAACTTGTGTACGAAAAATTTCTTGATTTTCAACAATAAACGATTTTTGATCAAGTTGTTGTTGCTGTTTCTTTTCTTGGCCATTTTTATTGCTGGCCATAGCATGATCGCTGATAGCTGCTCTTTGCATTCGATTATTTAGATCAATTATTGATGATGATGATGATGATGGCGGAAGTACTTGAATTTCAAATGGTGAATTTGGTATTTCTTGTTGATTGAATGTAACGTGAATGAAATATTTTCCGATCGATTCTGCTTTAAACGATACATTATAGATTCCATTTCCACGTTCATCAATTTCAATTGGCGGTTGTTGTTGTTGTTGCTGATGCTGTGGATTCGATGAATGAAAAACTTTTATATTCAATTTACCCCAGCCAGCTTTACGGCAATCAACGGTGAAGAAAATTTTTTCATCCAAATTCACTTGCTGTTGATTATTATTATGATTGACTGTCACTTGATTACAATCATAAACTAAACATGGAAATGGACTACCATTAATATGTTCCCCGGAATATGTGATGGCAATACGCCATTCACCAATTTCATCCGGTATAAAATTTGCAATAATTGAATTATCTTTTTCGATTAATTCACAATTTAATTCACGTTTCGTTGACGATACGGCCACTACTTTAACATCGGATGAACCGGCACCATTGGAATTGATCACCACTTCAACTAGTGAACCAACTGAACAAGGTTCAATGCCGGAAAATATGACATTCGTTAGATCAGGATGTACTTTTATCATTAATGGTTTTGTGGCCAAAGTTTCTTTGTAGAAAATTTTCAATTCATATAATCCGGCATCTAGTGGTGTAAATTTTCCTGTGCCACCATATTTATTCACAGTGATTTCCGATGTTATCAATTTATTCGTCGATAAATGATGAACTTCTGATCGAACAAATTCCAATTCAATATTATCCATTAATATTTCAATATTGAATAATGCTTCTTTTTGTACGAAAACATTGTTCAAATTTACACCAATTACACGTAGTTGATTATCATATTGATCGTGATCATTTTGTTTACGTGAAATGTGAATCAATTTTGTCAGATAAGCCATAACGCTTATATATTCAATATTTGGATCAGAAAAATGTTTTGCTTTCAATTGATTCGGTGGTTCAATGCCTAGATTTTTGCGGCCTGTTTCGAAGGCTAGTGACCAATTATTTTCCCAATATTTTTTATCCGATTTGAGATTTTGAACGTTTTCAATGTTGGCACCAATTTTATTGAGTAAATGACAGAACAGAATGCCGCTATTCCAATCGGTCTGAAATGTTGAAATGAAAAATTCTAGTCAATCAAAATTTTGACCAATGAATTTCGAATAAACACTTACCGTTAGATTTGTTAAATCAGCATTTGGCAATATTTGTTTTGTCCAATTAACGATTAGATTGTAACCGGGACCATTTTCTTTCATAAAATACGATAGATATGTTAGCGCAGATTTTTCATCCAAATTTGGATTACTTAAATCTTCTGCCGTTATAATCATCGGTATATTGAATTCAGTTTTGGCCATTGTCATTGCTTTATGGCAATTTTCCACACTAATTGAAAATGGATTAAAATTAATCAAATCAAGAATTCATCATCATCATTACCTATTTTTTGGTGAAAGTTTTCGCCAATCACTGAATATGCCCGGTTTACAAAAATCCAATAATGCAGCCAATGCAATGCCATTATTCCAATCTTTTGTGAAATTTGTTATTTTCAAATCTGGTAACGCAGATTCAAGCCATGAAAGCAACAATTTTTTTGGCAGTGTAGTTGCTTTACCCAATTGATAACGAGTGATCAGTTGCCATAATAAACCAAGTATTAGCTTTAGGTTACCAGACACAATATCAGTACTGCCTATGTTGACAAGACGTATATGATCGGAAGCTATTGCATTCAATGCAATCTGTACATTTTCAATTGATTGATGTTGATTTAATGGTCGTTGGATTTTTTTCAATTTACGATTCTGTAAACATTCAACCAATGTGATTAATTTTAAACCATTTGCAAAATCTTGTTGTAGATTTCGGACTTGAACACCAGTTGATCGAAGCTGTTCATTTATCCAATTTATAAATGTTTTTTGTTGTATATTAATCCAGATTGATTCTGTTGAATTTGAATTCTGATGAAGTTGTTCATTATTGCAAGAATCGGTTAGATTCAATTTTCGTTGTGTTTCCATCGTTTATGTAATCATTATCATCATCATCATCATTATGGTAATAATTCAATGATGATGAGTAATATTCACAAAAAAACAACAACAACAAACAGCAAAAAAAAATCAAAATAAACAAACACTGACGATGATGATGATGGTTCAAACAAAATTCGAAACGTGGTCAAAAAAAAAAGAAAAATATTTTTATTTGGCATATAATAATCTATAGTCGTCGCCGTCGTTGTTCGGTTTTTTAACCTCTCCGTTTTTCTCTCTCTCTCATTTAATCGAAATTATCCAGTTGATTTTTTTTTTATTTGTGCGGCTAATGCATGCACACACAAGGGAATGTCCAACCAATCAACCAACCAACAATAACAGCCACTAACTCGACACAAGAGCATATTTTCAATCAACAAGTCAATATATATCGTCGTACACATTTTTTGTTCTTGATTTATTCAGATATCAATAATGTTTTGATCAAAAAAAAAAAAAAAATAATGTTATGATGATGGCGATGGCTTGAGAAAAGAAGAAATGCATATATACACACAACACAAGCAACAAGTTTTTGTTGTTTTCGAATGTTATACAACAACAACAACAACAACAACCTGCTGCTTCGAAAGCTGATGATCAGTATACAAACAGTTTGTATACACACACACACACACACAAACACAAACACAACTCGGGCTGGCTATTTGGCATTTCAACATTTTTTTTTTTCTTTTTCATTTTTTCGCACACCTTGCACCGCATTCATACACACAAACATTCTTAATGTTTGTGTGGCGCTCAATTGGCTTAAATGTCCAATATGTCCGACAAACATACTATATTTGGATATTGGTTTCTGTATAATTTTTTTTCTCTCTCTCTCTCTCTCTCTCTCTCTCTCTCTCTTTTTGTATTCAAAAAACACACACACACATGTTTCTCTAATGGAACAACAAGTGATCCATCCATTCTATTGAATCATAAAATCATTGAATGTCAATTATTCAATCAATATAAAACACTCACACACGAATGTATTATTTTCCATGGCAAATATACATTCAGATAAATAAATTTTTTATTTTTACAACAAAACTAAAAAATTCAAAATATTTTTTCGATTAACCCTAGAAAGGTAACCTTATCGATATTGCGGGAAAGGTAACCTACGTAAATTTTACGTAGTTGATATGCCTAACTTATTTCCACTATAAAAATTATTTATCTGATTATTTATGTTAAATTTTAACGTTTATTCATTGAATCACACCTCTATTTTATATTAAAGAAGAAAAAATCATTTTTCAAAAGTTGAAAGTTCAAAAATATCAAATCAAAGATATGGTGTAAATTTTGAATTTTTTTTTATTGTCAATTTTGAAATTATCACAGCGTCAAGAAAAAATAAAAAATGATCCTGTAAATATGATTAATCAATCGATGATTGTGTTTCGAAACATGATTGACAAATTTTTATCTGATATTCGCCGCGGGGGCGGTGCCACAACGTTTACATCCGGTCGTTGTTAAACGCTTTTTGCAAGCATGTTAATTTTGAATAAAGTGAAAAACATAAACAAATGAACAGAAAAGACGTTTATTTCAAAAAATATTGCGACAAAAAACGTTTTTGACAAGTGAAAAGATAAAAAAAGAAAAAAATTAAAATTATTTCTATTCATAAATGACGTTTTCTGGGAAAAATTTCCGAAACTATCGCTCTCAGCAAAATTTTCTAAGATTTTTCTATGCTGATTCAGGCAACCATACGTAAATTTTACGTACAAGCTTTTACGCCTGAGCTTATAGATAACAGATAAAAGGCGAAAACTGGATCTTTCCCATTTCTAAAGGTGTAGAAATATATTCTTGAGGAATAGAAAGGGGTTCCAGCTGTCTTAGCATCGTGAGTGTTTTTTTGGAACATTTTGAAGTGCAAAAAGCATAAATTTTACGTAGGTTACCTTTCTAGGGTTAAATTGGAAAAAACGGAAAAAAAACATTCGATTATCAAGTTCTGTTCATAAAATACATGACGATTGTTGTTTTCATTCATATATTTTGTTTTGAATTTAAATTTGACATTTGAAAATTGTAACTGATTATCTTTTTTTTTTGATTTTTTTCTCATAAAAAGTGATAAAGTGAGAGAGAGATGATTACCGGTTATGTTTATCACCATTGTACAGTCTTCGTTTGTTGTTGTTTGACTTATTTGGTGTTATGATCACCGTTGCAGCGAAAAAACTTTAATTAACAAGTTTTTTTTCGTATGTGGTATGCCAGTCCGCCCATTAAATATGTAATTACAGATTTACCGATCAAAATGGCTTATGGCTAAACTTGATTACCAATCGAATTTGATCAAATCGCGTTTGCTACAACTATCGCTTATCATTCACCAATTACACCTCGTTCAAACAGAAAAACGATAAAAATGTTATATAAAAGTTCAAAGTTTTATGTATGTATAACCATTTGACTGTTTGAAGCCAAATCATATATGCTTGCTTTATGATTTGTTTTTATTTTAAAGAAAGTCTTGTTTTCGACAGATAAAAATAATAAAATTTTAAAATTTTTTTTATAGACCAAGTGCTGCCATCTTGTTGTTTCGCAAAATTATTATACATTTTCTTTCCATTCGAAAATGGATTTATGGATAATTTCATTTCTAGATTTTAAGATTTTTTTTTTTCGTCAAAGAATTTCGTTTATCTTGAAACACAATTCCGTGAAACGTTTGTGAAGTGTACACGATCAATCTAGAATCGCCATTATATTGTTTTGTTTGTTTCATTTCGATTTCGAAAATGGATTCTAACCATATTATTGCAAAGATATGATTGTTCGAAATTCTCCATTATTCGGCATTGTATGTTCCTTGTCGGCTAGATGTTTGTGAATAAAAAAAATTGTAATTCGAAAATTCATTCTTTTTAAACAACACGCTAAAACGACTTTCAATAAGAAAGAAACACGAGTCTGTCATCAAAAAAAAACGGCACACCTTCGATTTCGCTGATTTTTTTTTTGTTTGCCAATTTCATACAAAGACAAGTTATTCAATATCTTACAAAAAAAATTCCAAATGTTCCGATATCAATGATATAGCATAATTATAGATGATAATAGATTTATAAAATTAATTTTAAAAAACATTTATTTTTTATTAATGAAAATTGATTTTTTATTTTGATAGAAAAATTTTCAATTAAAAAAAAATGATGATAAATACGTTGATAAACTTGCATAGTATAAATTGGGTATTGAATTAACTGACGAGGGTGAGTAATACACACAGTGTGAAACTATTGAAAGAGGGGGGAGTAACACACACACGCACACACAAAACTTTGAACGTTGATCTATGTGTGTGTATGTTGTGCGGTTTTATATGATTTTAGGAGGGCGCTTTTTCTCTTGCTCTTTTTCTCCTCCCAACGACCAGTGTGTGTGTGTGTGTGTTATTGGCTCTATTCGCTGTTTGATGCTGATGCTGATGATGTTGATGATGATGATGATGATGATGATGATTATTGCCATTAAATTATTTTTTCACTGAAATTCCCACCAGCATTCGATCAATCATATAAAAATTTCGAATCATCATCTGCTTATATATTTATTCTTAAAAAGAATTATCTATAATTTTAAAGAAAAAAAAATAGAATAAAAATTCCAACAATCAAACGATGGCATCGATACGAAAAAAACTTGTTATTGTTGGTGATGGTGCTTGCGGTAAAACATGTCTATTGATTGTATTTAGTAAAGATCAATTTCCCGAATTTTATGTGCCCACTGTTTTCGAAAATTATGTTGCCGATATTGAAGTGGACGGTAAACAGGTGTGTGTGTTTGTGTTATGATTTCAAGAATATCCATTTGTGATATCTAATATATGATTCCGTTACTCACTCATCATCATAGGTTGAATTGGCTCTTTGGGATACAGCCGGTCAAGAAGATTATGATCGTTTACGACCATTATCTTATCCAGATACCGATGTCATTTTAATGTGTTTCAGTATCGATAGTCCTGATTCACTTGAAAATATTCCAGAGAAATGGTCACCAGAAGTACGACATTTTTGTCCCAATGTACCCGTTATTCTTGTTGGTAATAAAAAGGTTCGTTTTGTTGAGCTCTTTCTCTAAATGAATAATAATGACTAATCAATTGTTGATTCTTTGAATTAGGATTTACGAAATGATTATACTCTTAAATCAAAAATCAAGACAGTGTCAACCGAAGAAGGTAATTGATTGATTAAGAAATTCATCACATTACACATTCATATGATTTTTTTTTGTCCATAGGTAAAGCAATGGCTGAAAAGATAAATGCTTTTGGTTATCTTGAATGTAGTGCCAAGACCAAAGATGGTGTACGCGAAGTATTCGAAGTAGCAACACGTGCAGCTCTACAATCGAAAAAAAGACGTAGAAAGAAATGTACAATCTTGTAAAACACAGAGAGTGAGAGTTGCTCAACATCAACCGCCATACACAAAACAGCAACGGTAAAAAACCACCACCACCACCATCATCCCCAATTCTTGGATTCTTTTTAAACGGTATTCCTGCAAACAACAATCTACCAAAATCACACATCACAATTTATGATGATATATGTTCATGATCTTGACAACAAATAATACAGCGAATCTTTGCCTACCACCTATCTTTCTCTCTCTCTTTCTACCCAGCTGTTTTGGTTATCTTTTTGTAACAAACACACACACACAAAATATTTATATGATTGATTGCTTTGCATAGCATTGGCGAAATGTTGATTGATTTTGATTTGATTTGATGATTTTTTTAAAAAAATTTGAATTTTAAACACGTACACACACACATATGATAATCCCTTTTTCCTTTTCCTCTTTTTCAATTTGATAATGTGGTATCCCGATTTTTTTTTCTTTGGAAAATGGTCATCATTTGTTTGTTGCTTAAATCTTTTTATCCCAAAACAGACACACATACACACACACACAAATTTTACCCTACAAATACCTGTTGTGTTAAACATAACTTGATTCTTAAAATGTTGAAACTTTTTTCTCTTGAAATTGAAACCATAACAACAACAACAATTTTGGTTTGATAAATTGTCTATCATATATACACATACACACACACACACACACACAATGGTCCATTAATTAATTAATTAAAAAAATTTATAAAATTAAATAAAACGAAAAAAAAATGAATAAAAACTATCTGTAATTGATAAATGATAAATGGAAACAATTTTTTTTTTAATTTGATTCGAGGAAAGATCGAGAAAAAAAAATACATCGATTTATACATTGATTTGATTTACAAAAAAAAAAAAAATTTCTTCCTATAATCGATTCTGATGATTTATTTTTATCAAATCTGGTGATTGTGCTGCTGCTGCTGTTGTTGTTGTTTTATTATTATTATTCATCATTAAATACTGTAACAGTTCATTTTGCCGTAAACGATTCAATTCTTCACGTAATAAATTTACTTCAGCTCTTAATTTAACGTTTTCTTGTTCCAGAACCATAATACCTATTGTTGTTTGCATCTCTTTACGGCGACGACTTTCACGTGATCTTTTTGCCGATTCATTATTTCGTCGACGACGTTCCCAATAGCTGTACAGAGAATGACAAATAAAAAAAAAATTCAATTAACAAAGACCAAAAAAAAAAATTTGAATTCAAAATACATACGCATCATCTTTATTTTCGCTTGGAACTGGTATTGGTTGTCGTTTTCTTTTACTATAATGATCACAAGCAATCAAATTGGTCGGCGACGACGATGATTCAAATTTTGTCATCGAAGAATGTGATTCCAATGATGGTGACGTAGAAGAATGATGATGATGATGATGATAATAATCACTAATTTGTGATGATGTCGGTGATGATGATGAATACGAATTACTTGGTGAATAGGATAATCGTTGTTGATCATAATCATCATCATCATCATAATGGCTACAATCAGTAAAACGATGATTCGATAATTCATCATCATTGGTCATCATGACCATTGTTTGTACGGAATGTTTAAGCTGTTGTTGTTGTTGTTGCTGCTGCTGCTGCTGTTGTTGTTGTTGTTGTTGAATCTGAACATTTTTAGTAATGACGCTAGTTTGATTTGATGGATACATAGTTTGTTTGTTTTTTGTTTCGATGATGCAAAATTATGCGATGGATGGATAGTTCTCGTTTCGAATGTTTGCCATGTATTTATATAGTCGAATAAATTTTTTTTGATTTAAGCCAGTAGAGAAAAAAAAACCAAAGCTCATGATCAACAACAAAAAAAAAAAAGTCCAAATTTCATCCCGCAATATTTATGCAATATCACAAATCATCATTGATCCATTGGTTCGATTCGATCATCACCCAATTATTTTTTTTCTGATTGATTTTAATTACAACATTGCACACAACAAAGGCACAAATGTGACGCAAGATTACCATTTTGGCTGATTGTCATAATTGATTTCTTTTTTCCTTTCCCCTTAACACCACCACCACCACCACCATTTGATGATGATGTCTAAACGTTCGCAAATCAGGCACACACACACACACACAGCCGGATGGTTGACAGTATCATTCTGCAATAATTTTTTATTTTCTGGCAACCAAATGTGCCAAAAAAAACATACACCACATACTTACATAGCTCATCATTGATTGAATTGAATTGAATTCACATTTAGGCACGATTGTGTGATAAGATTATCCAATCAACCGACCAAATAAAAAAAAACGTTCACATAGGGTTGTGATCATTTTGAATTTAGGCACATATCAATCACATCATCATCATCATCGACAACAACAAGTATCCAAAAAAAAAGTGCAAAGAGCAAAACAAAAAAAAAATTCCAATCATCATCATAATTAACAAAACAACAACAACAACAACAAAAAAATGTTACAAAAAAAGTTGTAGACATTCAGATTCTTTCTGTTTTTGAAAATTGATCAATCAATCATCAAATTTATTAATTATTTATAAGTTGATCAAAAAAAAAAAAAAAATGGATAAAAAGGCAGAAAAAAAAGGAAATTAGAAAATCATTATATACAAAAAGTGATATCACAGTGTTTTTCACCACAAAAAAAAAACAGAATTAACAACAGAATTTGACAATCAATCTATGAAGTGGTGAATAACAATAGATAATATGATGATATGGTGGTTAATAAGATGGATCCAAATAGAAGGCTGTTGGCGGGCATAGCAAATCGTTTAGCTGAACTATCCGAATATTGATGTTTGGTATTTGTGGTAGTTGTAGTAGTGATTACTTGATTAACTTTTTGGTGATTGGATCAATCATTATATCGCCAGTATTTGTTGTTGAATCATCATCATCATCATCATCCATATTATTTGGTTGTTGGTCATGATTAATGGATAATCGTGGTAAATGACCAGAACCATCTTGATAATTGTAATCTTCATCATCAGGCATTATTGGATTCATTCCACTACTATCACCACTACCATCATGACCATTTAAATCATCATCATCATCATCGTCATCAAAATGGTTATCATTTCTATCAATAAGTAATTGATGATCATCATTTGCTGTTGATTGACTATTAATAAATTTTGATGAACGTTGATTATGGATAAGCAATTCTTTTATGGTTGTTTCCGATTTTTTAACACGATCATGTAATGTAATAATCATATCATTATCACTGACATTTTGATTATGATTACGATGATGTCCACTATTCATTGATAATGATTGATGTTGTTGCCGGTCTTGTTGTCTAGCTTGATATGAACTGAACGACAAAGCAAAACAAAGTTAGGGACAATTTTATCAACATTGTAAATCAAAAACTTACCTAACCATATTGGTACCATTCCAACAATTTTGATCATTATTATTGTATTGGGCACACATTTTACCATCCAAACTGTATGGGAAAAAAACATTGATCAATTCATTGATTTTGACTTGATGATAAAAAAAAGAGAGAGACTTACTCGGCAAACATATCTTTATGTTTAGCAAATAGATGAGCCATTGATTGTATAGAAACATAAAGACTGAATCCATGAACATTGCTGCCAGTGTTATCATCGTCGGTTAAATCATCATTTGGCGATGTTGTTGTTGTTGTTGTTGAATAATTATAAAAATCGTAGGCGTTTTCACCAGTGTTACCATTATTTGTATTGGCAGATATAATTATACCGGCGGCACTTCGAAAATATCTTTTTAATGAACCACAAGCAATACGAGCCTAAATATGGATAAACAGGTCACATTGGTCAATTTATTCAGTTCAATTTATTCATTTTTATTTGATAATTTTAATCATCATGATGATTATGTAAATGTGAAAAGAAAAAATACAAGCCACACACACTTAAATCATCTGGAAAAAAAATTTTCATTTTCCGCAAACAAGTAGTCATAATAGCCACCCAAATACAATCAAAAAAAAAAAAAACATTCAACAAGTTGACTAGACTGTTGTTGTTGTATAATGGGCATAGTATAGAACACCCAGAACAGAAAAAAAAATTTACAACCCAGCTAGATGATTGATATTTCATTCTAGCATTGGATTGATTGAATCAAATGAGTGTGTGGTAAAAAAAAATATCAATTTTTTTTTGGCCAAAAAAACAACAACGACAACCAAAACCAATTTTCCATTGTTTATTTGTTTTGTTGATGATTTTTGATTTTGACCACTAATTGAATTTTACGATTTTTTTTTTGTTGACACTGGTATATGTGATTAGCCAAATGACTAAGAAAAAAAAGAATGGTAGTTTACGACGACGACGACGACGACAACGATCGCGTCGTAGTGTGTGAAAAATGACAATTGAATGACACTTATTCATTGATTATTCATTTCTTTCTGGAAAAATTTGAATATAAACGCCAAATGACTCAGAAATCATACTACTCTCTACCCTCGTTGTGTTAAAACTTTATTTTATGCTATATGATGGCTAGATTTTTTCTTCACACACACACACACACCAGGTGGTAAGTGGCCAATGATGAAAAGTGTCAGTGTAAAAAAAAATATTCAACAAGTGGTGGCACTCTTTCATTGAGGTAACGATAATTCCTCAAAATAAAAAATTTTTCTTCAAATTGACGACAACATTTTTTCAACTATCATCATGATCATTACCAATCAATATATATGTCTTTGCTTTTGCTTGATTGTGAATCATTTTTTTTTCATCGGTTTTTTGTTGTCGTTTGCCAAAGAAGCAAAAAAAATAAAAAGTTAAAAGGAAAGGCCGGCAGCAAATTTTCTTTGCATTTGATTTCACCACACCACCATACGTATACGTTGATGATGATTTAAACCGACCAAAAAACCTGAAAAAAGCAACAGAATCCGGGCTGTCATGATGAAGAAACAAAAAAAATCCATTGCTTTCTACGTATTATCAATAGGCGTGTGTTAGCAACAACAATAAAGAGGAGCTTTCTCTTCTTTTCTTCTCAAAAGAAAAAAACCAAATCGGGCCAGGTCAAGGTACATGATAACATGAACATAGGACAAAAGCCAGGTATATGCTTGATTCCGGCATTCCATTCTCACACTATCATCAACAACAAAAACCACCACCATTACTACCACCGACGTTGTGTCGTTCGTGGTCGTCATTGTCGAGACGAGCCCACGCACGAAATTAACAAAAACTTTCACACACACAAACACTCAATTATTATACACTAGGCTTATTATATTTCACACTATCCGGATGTAAAATAAAAAATTAATGAATAACTTACATTTTTGGCTATCTTATCATTTTTGGAACGTATCCATTCTTGTGCCTGTTCTATCGATCGACGATGTGATGACATTAATATTTCTGGATTAAAATAATTAACCATTAAATTGACTAGCTGTTGATATGAACGATATAATGTTTTCATTGTGGAATCTAATCTTTCCATATTTGTTTGATCTAAACAATTGTTGATTGTTTCATAACATGATGATGAACATGATGTTGCTGTCATTATCGATGGCCAATTTGTTGCCGTTGTTGTTGCTGTACAATGATAACAATGAAATGTTCGTGATAATCGCTGTATGCAATCCGGTTTGTTGATTGTCTTAATCTCAATCGTTTGATTGATTAATTGTAATGAATTTTGTAATGAATGTACAATCAGGCTAATGATCAAAAGAAAAAAAAACGAAAAAGATTTGTTAGATCCGGATTAGTCAATTTTTTTTCAAAGAAAAATTTGTTCACGTCCAATAGGAATTGATTGATTGATCATAATAATAACATATATACGTTTTCCATTCAATTCCATTCATTCATTCATTCATAATGGAACAAAATGTGTAAGTGTGAGCTATATAGCTGAAAATTGATTCATTGATCATCATCATCATCAATAATAATGACCTTTGACCATGAGACTACTACTACCACCAACAGTATTTCAGTGTGTGATTGTTGTACATTTGATTTTAGTCGTTACAAACATTCTTTCAATTTCACTCTTCAAAACAACAACAACAACAACAACAACTAGATTGACTGAATGAATGGAATGGAATGGTATTTCAAATATTTTCTACTTTACCAATTTTTTTTTCACTATTCTCAAATGTTCTATGATTATATTTTATTGATAAAGAAAAATATGCGGCTTTTTTCCTATTCACACACACACACACACACACACCGCGCAAGCTGGTCCTCGTCGTTTTTTACTTTTTTTCCTGCTGTTGTTGTTCATATCCACCAAGAATGTTGTTGTTGTTAGTCGATCGGTCGAAGAGAGAGAGGAGAAGGACCGGATTTGCCCGATGGCCATCATCATACCTTGAAATTCGCGTTTATTGCATTTCAACTCTCTCTCTCTCTCTCTCTCTCTCACCACATATCAGACACACGGTATTTTTTTTTTTTGTTTGTTTGATTGAGTTTGTGGAATGTTTATTTGTGTTTGTGTGTGTTCTGGAATTCTGATCATAATAATACCTCGATGATTGAACAAAAACAAAAACAAAAAAAAATTTGATACATACCTTGCCGTATCAATTGTACGACTAAAACGGAACAACATTTCATCACGTGTTTTACTTAGAATATCTGAATCTTTCATTGTGTCCAATAGACATGATTCATATTCATTTGGAAATTTATTCTGATGTGGCTGTTGTAATATATCGATGAAAATCGCTTCCAATAAATGATCCACATGATCATTCAATTGAATTGGTGTATGATGTCGGGATTCAAATATTACCATGCGAATAAATTCAATCAGATTACGATTAGCTTTTACAATACGATGATCTTGTTGTTGATTTGTTTTTGTGCGGCCAAAATATTCATCAATATCCGTGATGGTATCATTGAGAATTTGATCCAATTTCCAATAGATACGATTATAATATTGAATGAAATGATTTTCAAATGTTGATATTTTCATAATTTTTTCAATATCCGAATGAAAATCATTATAAGCTTTTGTAGCGATTGCATCATCCAGACCATAACAACAACTGGATGGATTGGCACTTGCAGCACAATTTAATGATTGTTGAGATCGATGATTTTGATGATAATGATGATTGATGATGATGATTATTATTATTATGAATCGATAATTGATACAATTGTCGAACATTATGACAAGAATTAATCAACGGATTTGCCCGTACAATCAAAATGATCATCACCAAATAGGTGATAATAATTTGACATTTCAATTGATGATGATTCGTCATTTTGGCTGTATCAAATCGAATCAAATGAAAATCACAAGTTAAAGATCAAGATATGTGTAAAATATTTTGATGATTAATCGATGATGAAATTTCAATTTAAATCATCACTGCGAATTGCTGGATTTTTTTTTTTTTTTTGGTTCACAAACACAACGAAATAAAAAATAAAATTCAACAATCACACACAAAAAGCACACACATACAAAATGTATTCGATTCGATCGTTTCGTTTTGTTTCGTTGTTTGACGTTCGAAATGTTGAATGAATTGTACCTGGCCTGTTGCTTTACCTGTGTGGTATGAATGAATGAATGCATGCCCTTAAGTTTATTGGCAGACGACAATCATCAACATTTCTTGTTATGGCTGATATAATCACATATATATCAGGGCAAATAAAACTGTTTTTGGTTTTGTTGCTGCTGCTGCCTAGCTGCTGAATGAAGAAGAATTTTTGTTTTTATGGAAGAAAATTTTTTTTTGTTGGACAAATCTCTCTCTTTATTTTCAATACACACATTGATACCGCCTACATTCAACAACAACAACGAATGACTGAAAAAACAAATCAATGAATGAATGAAAAAAAAAAAAACGTTCATATAACGTCGTATATATACATGTTCAGGTAAGTGTGTGTGTGTGTGTGTGTATGTATTGTGATTCATTCATATAATCATCATCATCATTGTGAATCTCACACGTATTGACTAAAAATTCACCACATAGACAAATGAACAAACTGGATTAAATCTCATTCAAAACATTTTCTCTCTGTATGGTCATCATTGGTTGTGTTGTGTGTTGATGGTTGTTATTTTGTAGTTATTATAAATCAAAATCATGATGAAAAAAAAACAACATTTGGATCGGACATTGAATTCACCCGTAGTGTTGTTTTTTTGTTTGTACAAATGACAACAACAACAATGATGATGATGATGAACATTCGAATGGATTGAGTTTTTTTTTTGTTTTTGATCTCATTCTATAGGAAAAAAACTGGCAAAACAAACACATTGACTGATAACATTATAGCATGTGTCTGTATAATGATGATGATGATGGTGATGATTATGATCACCGATGATCATATAATCATCATCATGAACAATAAAAATGATTCCATGGTAATAATTTAATTGATACAATCATTCAAAATCTAGCTCTCTTAAATCCACTTATAATGAAATAGAGATTAATAATAATGATGATGATGATGATTATTATTATGATAAAATGACAATGTCCAATATAATTGATTGTTTGATGATAATAATAAAAAAAAACTGGGCAAAATAACCCATTTATTTATTAATATAACAATTCTAATGATGATAATGATTACTTGTAATCATTAGACAGATGTGTGTGTGTGTGTGTGTGTTCTATTGGCTTTTTGCTCTGCACTATCCATTTTGTTCAATAACAATAATAATCATTTTTAATTGTCGTTTTTTTTGCTGTTCTTGTTGTTGTTGTTGTTGATATTTTATTTTTGTTATTCGATCGACCAAATCACAAAAAAAATAGCTGCAACATTGGCAAACGTGTAGAAAAGGGACAAATACAATTCTTGAAAATTGTAATACAAAAAAAAGACAGAAATTTGATTTGATTTGATTTTGATTTCAATTTCAAACTTGTTCTCATCATCGAAACAGACCCAAAAAGTCCCAAATGAATGTGGTCAGAAAGCAAACAGAAAAAAAAATCAAACTGGAATTTCAAGTTCATCACACACACACACACAGAGAGAGAGAGGCTTAGTGTTCAAAGGGAAAAAAATTTCGAACGAATTTAAAAAAAAAAAAAAAAAAAAGACCACAATAACGCCATCTATTGTTGTTGATTATAACCATTAATTTTTCGAATTTCGACAGTGCTGCCATTGCCGGTATAAAAAACATTGAAAACTATACCACCACCACCACCAACCCAGTAGCCATTGAATGTGTCTGTGTCTGTGTGTGTGTGTGTTGTATTTAGCAAGCAAACACAAACAACCGTCGAATGAAAAAAAAATCAATCTACGCATGTGCAATTTGTGAGTTTTGTTGAGCGAAAAAAACCAAAAAGAAAAAAGACTCTGATGATGAAGGGAAGAAAATTTTGAGCAGCACACACAGCGTGTTTCATTGTATTGTATTGTATTGTGTGTATTCATAATACTGACAAAGCGATAACGAAAAGAAAGAAAAAAAAATTTGATTCGTAATTATTGAAATAAAACAATTCATCATTTTTTTGTTGTTGTTGTTTGGTTTGCTCTTTACACTTTTACCTCTTTTTTTTGTCGTCACTCTGATAAACATATATATATGTTTGTTCTGTGTTTGTGTTGATGAATTTTGTGAAATTGAAAACTACACATCATTCTCATTGTTCAAAACTAGAGCTGACAAATTTATAAATTTTTTTTTATTATTGGTCAATTTTGATGATTGTCAGTTGTTTGTAAATGTGAATCTCTATACATTTGAGTCATCAATACATCATATATTCATCTATTCATCTATATAGATTGATTAAAATTCGTCATCATCAAACAAAATCGATTTAGCCATCATACAAGCATATATAAATTGATTTGGCATCACTTTTTACTCACAATCATTCGTTTATTTTGTACAAAAAATTTTTTTTTCTACGTTCTAATAATAAATTTGAATAATATTTTTGAAATTTGACCAAGAAATTATAGCATCTCTACATATATAAATATATTTTGTTTCAAACATTTTTTTTCATCAATTGTTTTGGTGTTATAGTAAAGTGTCATTATTATTATTATTATTAATAATTCAAAATTTAAATTCCTACGTGGTGTTATGGCAACAAACGCAACGTTAACAATGTCCAATAATAATCATGCTAATAACGGAATCAAGTATGTCCATTTATCATTGTGATTCATTGATTAATTTTGTCTATTAAACTTGTCTCTTTTTTTGTCTATAACCAGTAGTAGCAACGATTGGAAAGCTAAACTTAAGGTTCCACCGAAAGATAATCGTATCAAAACATCTGATGTTACATCGACACGTGGCAATGATTTTGAAGAATTTTGTTTGAAACGTGAACTATTGATGGGCATATTTGAACAAGGTTGGGAGAAACCATCACCAATTCAAGAAGCAGCTATACCAGTCGCATTGCTTGGTAATGATATATTGGCTCGAGCTAAAAATGGTACCGGAAAGACTGGTGCATACACTATTCCATTGTTGCAAAAGATTGATGTGACCAATAATGCTATCCAAGCATTAGTAGTTGTACCTACTCGTGAATTGGCCATGCAAACATCAAACATTTGTATGGAGCTCGGTCGTCATCTGGGAATTCGAGTAATGGTCACTACTGGTGGAACTAATCTCAAAGATGACATTATGCGTATCTATGAAAATGTGCACGTTGTGGTCGCAACTCCTGGACGTATTCTTGATCTGGTCGAGAAAAAGGTATTGATTGATTGTTTCATTTGTTTTGTTTTTATCTGTTAATCGATTGACAGGTGGCCGCATTGAATAATTGCAAATATTTCGTATTGGATGAAGCTGACAAATTGTTGGGCCAAGATTTTCAGGGTATGCTCGATACACTGATATCGTATTTACCTGAAGAGCGACAGATATTGTTATTCTCGGCAACATTTCCAATTACGGTTGAACAATTCATGAAGAAACATTTGAAAAATCCACATGAAATAAATCTTATGGAAGAATTAACCTTGAAAGGTGTGACTCAATACTATGCGTTTGTACAGGAACGACAAAAGGTCCATTGCTTGAATACATTGTTCTCAAAGCTACAAATTAATCAATCGATCATCTTCTGTAATTCTACCCAAAGAGTGGAATTGTTAGCCAAGAAGATTGCTGAACTTGGATATTCATGTTATTACATTCATGCTCGTATGTCACAGCCACATCGTAATCGTGTGTTTCATGATTTTCGAAAAGGTCTTTGCCGAAATCTTGTATGCAGTGATCTCTTTACACGTGGTATCGATATTCAAGCTGTCAATGTTGTCATTAATTTCGATTTCCCCAAAATGGCCGAAACCTATCTTCATCGTATCGGTCGATCAGGACGTTTTGGACATTTAGGTATTGCTATCAATTTGATTACCTATGAAGATCGTGATTTGTTACACAAAGTTGAAGCGGAACTAAACACAACCATTAAACCAATACCCAAAGTTATTGATCCAACATTATATGTTGCTGAAGCACAAGCTGAAAATGCTGATAATAACTAATTAATTAACCAACTAATATATCATCAATCAATCAATATATTCAACACACACACACATTTATATACACAGACATTGATCGAGATCATCATACCCAATCAACCACAACCAACCAACAAGAACAACAACATACCCACCAACAACAACCAGTGGATCCGGCCAAAGAGAAGAAAAAGAAAAAAAAGGTAAATCCATGAAATAAATATATCAATTTCTATATAGTGTTAATCAAAAAAAAGCGAAAAAAAATTTGTATTTTACCAATTTCATATTTTCTTACCTGCAACAAACAAACAGACAAAAAAAACAAAAAGCAAAACAAGTATCATTTAAAAAAAAGGATTCTCTCTCTCTCTCTCTCTCTCTCTTTCCATTCACACAATGTCTGTCACTTTTCTTTCTAAAAACAAAAAAATTATAATTAGTCCCTTTGTATTGTTTTTGAAATCTTTGTTTCATTGAATAAATAAAAAGTCAATTTTCGTTTGCAAATTAATCGAATCACGTGAGAGAATTTCATTCTAATATGATCCATTTATGTAACACACGATTCAAAATTTTGAAAATTTTTCTTTTTTTGAATATTTTTGCTGCTGATGCTGATGCTGCTATGTCTATAAAAGAGCCACCACAATCATAATCATCATCATCATCAGCGTCATCAGTGTCATTTTTTTTTTGCCATATAAATGAAAAAAAAACGATGCGGCACATCTGAAAATATACCTATACACACCGCATACATTTTGGTTTGATGATCATCATTTCCATTTTCTCTTTTTTTTTCTTATTTTTCATACTTATTATTATCCTCACAACCATCATCATGTATATACACGGTGAGAATGTATGTTTGTGTGTGTATGTTGGATCAACCACAACCATCATCATCATCATCATCAATTGGAATCATATGTGCGCGCATAGTCCATCATCATCATCATCATATAGCCGACGATTGGCGTCATTTGGCTCTCATTTTTTTTCCTTCTTCGTTCACACAGATTCTCATTCTCAATTCAATTCAATTCAATTCAATCCTAAATACAAATAATAATACGGTTTTGCACTGCTATCTTTTTTCACTCTAAGAAAAAAATTGATGGAGAAAGAGAGAGAAAGAGCAAAGTGAAAGAGAAAAAAAAACCAAACAACACAACTCTATATTGTTATATGTTCTTGTCGCTTGTGTTTGTTATGTTTATCACTAAAATTCAATCATCATTTTCTTTTCTATGCTCTATATGGCTTGCTGCTGTGGCTTAAAGAAAAAAAAATTAGTGAATTTTCGAATGAAATTATAAATGTTGTGTGTATATGGTATAGCAGCCGCTGCCGTCGTCGTCTTCGTCATCATCATCATCCTCGTCGTCGTTGTTGTTGTTGTTGTTGTTGTTGATGATGATGATGTTGTTGTTGTTGAAGGGGGCAAGAATTTGATGTGAATAAAATAAAAATTAAAAAATCAATTCATATCGATGTTTTTTTTCTGTTCAATAGACTAAAAATACAATAACAGCAACAAAAACATCAAAATGAATGAATGAAAAATTTGATTGAAAATTGTAAAAAAAAAGAAAAAGAATCTGCTGCTATTCAACAACAACAACAAAGGGGCAATCAATTTTTGTTTTTGAATCACACACACACACACACACACATTTTTTTGTAACATGAGAATCATTCGTCATCATCATTACTTCGTCATGATGAATGTTACAGATCCATTCTTCTTCTACTTGCACTTGATATCATCATTCCATCCATAATCATAACTTTTTTTTTTTTTTTTTTGCTGTGAACATTTTGTTTTTCATTTTTGTTCATTTGTTTGTTTAATGAATAATTGTGGAAATCATCATTGTGTCAATAAATCGCCACCACCAACAACAACAACAATAAAAAAATAAATCACACACCCTGTGAAAAAAAGTGAACAAATTGTTAGTAAGAAGAAGCCATGACTACTGACGAGAATGGCATACCGATTCGATTTGGCTGCTATGAAATGCTTAAAACGATTGGTAAGTTTTTTTTTTGGATCCATAATATTATTTCATCAAGTGATGTGAATTTTTTTTTATTTATTTCAACAGGCAAAGGCAATTTTGCCGTTGTCAAGTTGGCTCGTCATACAATCATCAATTTACAGGTAGCCATTAAAGTGATATCACGTAAATCATTAACAGCGGATCAATTGTTAAAATTGAATCGTGAAATCGATATTATGAAACGTGTTGGATCACATAGAAATATTGTTCGTCTTTATCAAGTAATGCAATCAGATCGACATGTCATGTTGGTCACTGAATATTGTCAAGGTGGTGAATTATTCGAACAATTAGTTACTAAAGGCCGTTTATCGGAATCCAATTCTCGATTCTATTTTCATCAAATTGTCGATGCTGTTAAATATCTACATTCAAATGGAATTGTTCATCGTGATTTGAAAGCTGAAAATCTATTGCTTACATCGGATTTTAAATGTGTTAAATTGGCCGATTTTGGTTTCTCAAATTATTATACAAATCAATGTTTTCTTGCCACTTGGTGTGGTTCACCGCCATATGCAGCTCCAGAATTATTCGAGGGTAAACAATACAATGGACCTAAAGCCGATATTTGGTCATTGGGTGTTGTACTTTATGTCCTAGTTTGTGGTTCACTTCCATTCGATGGTAATACACTGCAATCGCTCAAAACACGTGTACTATCGGGAAAATTTCGTATACCATTCTTTATGTCACGTGAATGCGAACATCTTATTCGACATATGCTTGTGATTGATCCGGAAAAACGTTTCAATCTTCAACAAATCAAACAACATCGATGGATGTCTCATTCAACAATGAATAATAATAATATATCGTCCGTAGTATCGACATCTGAAAAACTAAGTGATAGACTGAAAAATGTCCATATTGGTGATAATAATAGTGGTGATGACGACATCAATGCCAATAATCAAAAAGCCAATGATAATGATAATGATAATGATAATGGCAATAACAATAACAATAACAATAATGATGATATCGATAATTCATTAGTAGAATGGATTGCATCTGAATTAGATATCGATTCCGAGACAGTGTTATCATCGATAAAAAATCGTTCATTTGATGAATATTATGCATTATATAATCTTGTCAATGATTCTAGTCATTGTTGTTCTGGAACATTATCATCTGCACCACCATCACCACCATTGTTACCTATTGTTCCGTCCACTAATCAACGTAAATCAAGTATTACTACAGGTATTGTTGAAAGGGAACCAACACCAACGAATTTAGCACCAAATGTTTCACAAATTCGTCGTCATACATGTCCCGATGCTAATCCATCCGATCATCATGGTGATGTTAGTGGTGGTGATCATTCTGGCGCAATGAATACAATGATGGTCACACCAACATTGTTTCTAACACCACCGGTTATGACAGCAACAACTATGGCGCCACCAATCTGTAATCTTCCTTTGGCACCACCCAATTATCCATTAGCAATGGATTTATTGAAACCACCACCTGTATTGTTATTGGCTAATAATAATATGGTTCGTCGAGCATCGGATGGTCAAGCCAATTATGCACGAACCAATACCACCACCACCACCTCTAACACCACCAATACCAATACGCATTTAGATGGACAACAACAAACATCATCATCATCTTCGTCGTCGAAACCGATCGCTACAACACATGCACAAACATCGCCACCAATTAGCTATATTAAACGTAAAAGGCATTCACTTACCGATACGAATGAATTGATTTCCCGTCAACGTAGAATGCAGCTTGCTCAAGCCAATCTTAATGCTGAAAGGTAATGGATACCATTAGTTCACGATTTCCTTTTTCATTAATTTTATCCATCATTTTTTTTAGATCACGTAGAAGAGCATCCGATGGATCAACAGCTGCGGGCATCTATCATCAATATCATCAACAACATCAGCATCAACATCATCAACATCATCATCATCATCATCAACAACAACAGATTTCGATACCATTCTTACAGCATGAATTAAGGGCCCTATGTTTATCATCGCCACCATCATTACATACTTCACCCATTCATCATGGAACATCAACTGCAATGGCCAATCAGCAACAATCACACCATATATCATCAGCATCAGCAATATCGAATTCATCAGCTACATCATCATCACTGCCACCATCATCACCACCTCCTACATTGCCTCAGATTAGTGAAGAAATTCATAAAATTGATATCGATTTGGAACAACCTCAACATCAGCTGCAGCACAAATCAGCCAAGCTGACAACAACTACTTCACAACAAATGCAACAACTTCCAAACAGCAGATATACTGCTGCTGGATCATCAGTACCATTAATTACACCACCCCAATCATTTAGATCATCACCGGTTACATCGCCAAATCATGCAACAACACCATCAATATCGGTAACAGATGAACTGGGAGCATCACAATTTCCGATACTTCCACCACCTATTGATTTTCAATTGACCATGACAAATTCACATCCAAATTTGGATCAAGATTCAGATTCGGTTACCAACGCCAAGATAGTAACCACCGATCTTTTATTCAATCGTCTACATCGTTGGCGAAACGATGAAAGTGAGTACAACCGTTTACCATCATCCTATTCGGTCACCACTACTTCCATTCTGTAGAGAGAGTTTTTTTCCCGAGGAAATCAGATTTTCTTTATCCATGTTACTGAATGATCAAATTTGCTTTTCTTTTTTTGTTTATTTTGTAGATATTGTAGCAATGCTTGACAATTCAATTCCATCATGATGATTATCACACACACACACACATACTGAAACCTGGAATTTTTTTTTGTTTTGTTTTTTCATTGTTATTTTCTTCCATTCATTTATATTGATTTAACCTTGTTATGTTTTTTTTCTGTTTTTCATTTTCTCTTCTCACAATCATCATCATTTAGTCAATCAATTTGTATGTGTGTTTTTTTTTTCAATTGTAGTCACACACATTTTTTTCTCTCTCACAAATTCACACCTACACTCAACCAAATTGTGCCTTGAATTTTTTTTTTCTAATGTTTGTTTGAAAAACACTTATTATTTGGAATTTAAACAATGAAAAAAATGTGAATTGATGAATAAATTTCGAAATGATTTGATGCATGATTTTTTTTCTGGTTTGATGTTAAAATAGCCGGTTAATTTGTTTTTTTTTTCTCTTCGTCAAATAGCACTACAATCACCAATAATTGAATCGTCGAAATGTATGATGGTCGTCGGTGCTCATCATCATCATCAAGCAATAGCAAATTATCCATCATATCCAAATCTTAAGAAAAACAATACACAATCAATCGATTTATCATCTGATTATCATCGATCATCAATCGATGGTTATTACAATGATGATGATCATCATGATCAATGTCAATCATCATCATCATCAACATTATTGCACAATCATTATACCAGTGTACCATGTGTATTGAATAGCAAACAATTGACTACAACCGATTCTGGATCATTATGTATTAATGATCGAAAAACAGCGGCAAAATTATTAAGCCATTTTGGTCGCCGTGATCATGATCAATTAATCGATTGTCGTGAGAATCATGTATTGAATTATGGCCAAACCGAATTACAAATTTCATTAGAATGGAATCAATTACAACAAAAATTGATTCTAAAACATGTTTCTGGTGATGCAACAAAATATCAAAGTCTTTGTCATGAATTAATATCCACTATAATCTAAACATATTTGAATATTTGAGGCAATCAAATCAATAAATTCATTCAATCAATCATCAAATTGATTTATTTTGTTTGTTATTATTATGTAATTATATTACTTCACTCCTTTCCACACCCGCACACATACACACACACACTTTGAAACAAAGCTTTGTGAGCTATCAATCAAATTGTGACATTTTTTTTCATTTTTCAAAACAAAAAAATCAATATTTTTTGATATCGTTTCAAATCAATAATGATAATAATGATGATGATAGGAACAAACAAACAAACAAAAAACAAATAATAATGCCAATTCAATTAATGTTAATTAGTGTTTATTTGTATAATTATTATTTAAATCAATAAAAAAAATCAAACGATGATTTCGATCGATAATTTTAAAATTTTTTATTAAAATTAAAAAAATCATCACGTGACAAGTGCAATACGCGCGCGCGCACTTTGAATTCAAAAAAAAAAAGATTACAACGACGATATATTGATGATGATATGGACTCACATACACAAACAACATGAGTACAAGTTGAATGTATGGCCAGCAATTTTTTGTATGCGTCGTTGATGCATTAATTGTTGTTGAATTTGATCGTTTTTTTTTCTTGTGATTTGTTCTGATTGATTATCGTTTGTGTGTGTGTGTGTGCGTCTGTGATTATTGACGATGGCATGATCATCATCATTCAATTAATGATTGCGATTTTTTTATTATTTGTAAATAAACTTGTTCGAAATGTTACCAGAATAATTCGAATCTCATCGTATTCGTATATTCAAATTCCAAAAAAGTGGTAAATTCAAATCATCAAAAACATGAGTTCATTTGTATTCATTAATCAACATGAAATTGAATTCAACGATAATGATGCACAACAACAATCACAGACAATAACAATTTTTAATCCATATGATTTTACCATTACATTTAATTGTAAGTTGACAAACAAACAAATTGTTGTGTGATCATCATCATTCTGGATTCATTCTATTTCGAATTCTCTTTCCATTTAGTCAAATCAACCCGTCCAAATGCATTTATATTATCAGCAACACATGGAGATATTTTATCACGACATTCTTTAGATGTGTAAGTTTTCAACTCGAATTTTTTTGATTTGAATTGTCAATTTTTCATTTTTCATTTGTTGTTATTAGATTAATCAATCTATTGGACAAGACAATTGTAGAGGAAAAATTTCTGATTAAAATCTATTCAAAGGATAAAAAACTTGGTGAAAAAATTGTTCGTGTAATGTATAGACCTGATGATCAACAATCAATGTCGTCGACAACAAAGACAACAAGACGATTGAATGTTTCATCATCAAAAGATCATGATTATTTTCATGATTTATCAGACCAGCCAAATAGATCACAACAATATGATGATCGAACAGCTACACAGCGTACCCGACACAATAGTGGACAAAAATTACCGAATCAATATCTAATATGGACTGCATTGATCATATGTTTGATAATTCTAATGTTACCACATGATGATGAGTCCAATTATAGCTATCTACAAATTGGCGTCAATGTTAAAATCTGTTCTGCATATATTCTGGGTCTGGTAACCGTGTTATTGATTCGTAATTGACCACTTGACCACCAAGAAAAAAAAACTTGTGACATTATTCTGTGTAATATTAATATGTACAAAAATAATAAATAAAACAAAACAATATATTAATCTAACTGATAATTTACAAATATTCATTTATTTATTAATTAATTTCTTTTACTATTCAACTCCGATCAATTTTAATATCGCATCCAAGACATTTTCATTCGCAGTTCTTCATATAATGGAAGGTTTTCTACTGGTCCTATGGCTGCTACCACTGGACAACGATCCCAGATGAAATTTTCACCAATACTATGAAGTTTAGCTGAATTAACACGATTGATACGTTCAGCCCATTCTTCCAATGTGATTCGACGACCAAAACGTAACATATCAGTAGCGATGCTATTTGCATTATTAACTGAACCTTCACGTTCACAAATCAAATTGGTCATCAGGATATTTTTACCCAATTTGATTTCATTGTTAGCAACTTCGATACACATTCGTCTCCATTGTGTCTGCAAATGCCAGACGAATTCTTCCAATTGCATTCGTTCACCAACAAAATAGCTTCCCCAAAGTGCTGTATCTTTGTATTTCAAATTGAAAGATTGAAATGATTGTGCCAGATGATCCATATTGGAAACCATGCCCATATAGCATGATACATTGATACCACCACCATGAGTAAGATCCCATCGACCCATAAGCTAATCAATTAATGATGATGTTCAGATAAATTGACATAAGCAAACAAAAAAAGGAACACTCACCGATGCTGCAACATCCATGACAACAAAATCAGGATCCGAATAACCGGGTCCTTGTACGGCAATGGCAACATGAGCACAAGACATTGAATCATCACGTACACGAATGTCACTACCAGTATAACGATTAACCGTCAAGCTTGGAATCATATTTTTCTCGAAAATATTTGTCACATTTTTCAAATGTTTTTCACTATCCTTGCAACTGTAATATAATTGAAAAATTAGCATTAGCTTTCATCAAACAATATCAAAAATCAATCATACACACATACATTTGATCATGGCTAATTGGACCACTGGCAGCAACAATCATTTGTGGCCCTTTGAATATCAGATCTATTCCACGTTCAATATCGGCTTTGGTGAATCGTTCAATGTTTGCAGTTGGACCATATTTGGTATGAGCCAATGGTGTTTGTTGATAGGCAACTGAATGCAAATGGTCCATTGCAACCTGTTGATAATTGTTTTCCGTTTCATTCAATTCATTTAGAATAAATTTTCTTGTGGCTTCAATTTCATCAGTATTCAGAATCGGATTTTGAACCATATCGGAGATGATTTCTATTGCTTTTGCTACATCTTTAGGTGCCAATGTCATATAGTAACCGGACGATTCTCGTTGAGTGTATGAGTTAAGAATAGCACCCAAACCATGCATATCTTTTTCCAGTTGTTTCTTGGCACGATTTTTCGATCCTTGAAGTATAAGATGTTCGATAAAATGAGTGATACCATTCAATTCTTTTGGTTCACTCGAACAGCCTGAATCGATCCATATACCAACGGTTGCCGATGGTGAATTATTCTGTTCGGTAGCCACACGAATTCCATTACTTAATTCGGTCACATTGGTTTGGCCACCATTTTTCAATGCATGGCTAAATTTATGTGCTGCATGATGAGAATAACGAGCCTAATATCAAACAAATTCAAGTTATTCGTCATTGAACCACAAAAAAAAACTTGAAAATACACACATACCCCAACACAATTTTTACCGGCCAACAAGCCCGAACGAATCAAATTCAGAGCCATCCGTAATTTATATTATCACTATAATCGCAAAGAAAGAAAGTAAAATTTTTTTTCTTTTGTTTGCCGAATCAGAACAAATGTTGATGATGATGATGATTTTGTTGGCAAAAATCAGTTGTGAGAATGTGACCTTAATACACAAATCAATTGGGATTGGCTATTTCTACCCAATCATCAATTGATCATGTTTTCATTGAATTAATTTCTATAGAAAAAAATAATCGTAATGCACGCGACATCTATTGTCAGGCGGTGGAATTTTTTATTTTTATTTTCCAAAAAAATGAACATTCGATTGTGATTGATTTGGATTTGGAAATAAACACAAAACAAAATGTTTATATATTCAAACTACTACCAATTGTTTTGTTTGTTGTGGTCATTTTTTTCTGGCTAAAATGTTTGCCAGTTGACTGCTACAATATAATAAAATTCATCATTGAGATTTTAATCTGGAATTTTTTTATCCAGAAATAAATGTTCACAAACATTTGCCGACAAACGTAATGTACTTCGAAAACAGAATCAGTATTCCAACAACAAAAAAAATTGAATTCAGTATCTGGAATCATTCATCATTCATAACATGTTGAAATTTTAATCAACGAATTAAGACAAATTGTGTAAAAAAGGTCATAGACATTTGTGCAGATTGGTTGTGTGGTTGTATGGTTTGTATGGTTTATATTTGGATCATCAACAGCAACTTGGTTATAGCAACAACAAACCCTCCACATCCATCAACCAACACATCAACAGCCACCCACCAACATTATCTAAATAAATTTCAGTTATATTTATTCTTCTTATAATGATCAAACAGTAAACATCTGGAAACCAAGAAACATTCAACGATAATATAGACACATAAATAGCCTTAATCGATTAGATGATTGAAGAAAGCCATCACCATCACCATCACCATCATCCTTTTATTTTAATGCATATGTACAATCTCATTTTCTCATCATCATCGTCGATCGTTATTTGATTATCCATCCATCCATCCATATAAATCCGTTGATTCATTGATGGCCATATGGCATTATATTATTATGGTGATGATATTTTTCATAATAGTTTCATCGTTTCTATTCAAGGTTTTCATTTTGCTTTTATTTTGTTTGTTTGTTTTTTTCCCGTTGATTAATCAAATTCATCATTAGGATATGCATTAATGTTTTTTTTTCTACTTTCCATCAAATCTGTCATTCATTCAACAATTTTGTTTGTTTATTCTATCGAAATTTGATCACTCAATCAATCATCGATCAATATATTGATCTATTGAGATACCATGTTTCCATGGTTATTAATTAAAAGATGGTCAACATATGTTGAACACAAAAATCAAATCAACATTAGTTGCAGGTAAAATGACGATAAAATATGGCCCACTATTAATAAATCAATCAATCAATCATATGTGACATGTGAAACACATACACGCGATAATAAAATCATAATCAACACACACACACACAAAAACTGTCGTTTTGATTTTTTAAATTTATGTAGATAAATCAATCAATCTGGTTCAACAAAATCCAGATCATATTTTTGTTTGTTTGTTTCGGTTAAATTAGATTCCAATAAAAATGTCAGGAAAAAAAATAATCCAAATTTCTATACACAGGTGATTATCACATTACATTATCTGAAATGAAACAAAACAAAAAAAAACCCCATAAATGGAGATGAATGAAATGATGATGATGTTTTCGAATAGATCGCTTGAAAGATAAAAAAACAATCCTGATGACAAGCCAATTATTTCGTGCTTCACCGATAATTGTTGACCAATCAGCAACAATTTGTGTTTACTCTATGGAGATGTGTGTGGATGGTGGTGGTGGATCCCACTTGAATGAATGATTGAGATAATGAACGAATAGAAATGGAAAAAAATATCGATAAATTTTTCATCTATTAAAAGCTATTATCATTATATCGATAATTTCGTTTGTTTTCTTCGAGGTCAGGTGGTTTGATGGCTAAAACAAAAAAAAAAAAAAAAAAAAATTCCACACATGTGTAGCATCAATATAAAGTAAAGGTCACGAACCAACTAATCGACTAATAAACGAAAACAGCAGCCAAACATCATCATGATGAAGATGATCGTCGTCGTGTAAAAGTTTAAACCCCAAAAAAAAGTCAATTTCTGAGCCAGAAACCAAAATAAAAAAAATTCATGATTCTTTCAGCCAAAAAAAAAGAAGAAAAAGAAACAAAAAAAATCTTTATTACATCATTCGGGTGGCATGATAAATGAGCCACGATGGTTTTTTCTTTACTGGGTGCAGAATTTAATTTTATCATAGCACCTCTCTTTTTCCCTCTTCCATTATAATGATAATTATGTATGACGGCCAAAAAATTTCGCCTCTGGAATCACTATTTTATCTTGTTTTGTTTGCTGATATGAAAAAAATTATGATTCTTATGTGAAAGGAAAAAAAAAATTTTCTTGAAAAACAACAACAACAAAAATCTCATCATATGTGTGTGTGTATGGCACATCTGTTGCTTGTTTTTTTTTTGCTTTGACCAAATGATGATGATGATGATGATTATCCATATGGAAAATGATGACATCAATTTCCGGTGATTATTATTATGGTTCATATGGTCATCACATTAATCATCATCAATTATTTGGTAACCAAAAAAAAAAAAAAAAATTAGAAATGATCTAGATTAGAATTTTTTCCTTCTTTTCTTTGGTCATCATCATTATGTTTTTTTTCGTGTCTAGGTGTGTGTGACTGTTTGTCTGTTTGTTTGTTTGTTTATTTATTTGTCTGTGTAAAAGAAAGACAGAGAGAGAGATAAATCTGCTAGATACAGATAGGCCCAAAGTAATAAACCATATGGTTTTTTCTGACATAAAATAAATTCAATTTGGCCAGGCAAAAAAAAAATCTGACCCAGACCATAGAAAACAAAAAAAAATTACATCTGCTGCTGGATTGGGTTATCCATAAATATTTCTTTTCGTGGTTGTTGTTTTTGTTGTTGTTGATTTGTTTCTGGATCGATTGTCCAGCATTTTTTTTATTGTTGCACGTAGTAGTACGTGTGTTTGTGTAGATAAATCATTTTTTTTTATATATATGAATGAATAAATCGTTTGTAAATCAAGCTGAACATTTGACATTGACACTAACCAATCTCTAAATGGATGATTGTTGAAATTGATCGAAAAGCTGACACGTGCCACAAGTTTGTTTTTATGTGTTTAACCCCTCCTTAAAATGTGAGTTGGCCAAAAAAAAAAAAGAAAAAAACCACATTTATGGTGGTGGTGGTCATTTTTCGATTCTCTTGCATTTATATCCATTATATACGCACAGATTTCATTCATTCAATCAATCGATGGGTCGTGTGTCCATTACATTACAACAACAAACGCGCACACACACAAGATCAGATTGAATGATGGAAAAAAAAAGCTTTCAATCTTTTTTGATAAACACCTTGTATATTCCATGTCTGTCCATGTCGTTCAATTCATTCGTTGGTTTGTTCATCAAGTTTATTGGGTAGAAAAATCTATTTCACATAGCCAAACAAGAAAAAAAATATCATAAACAGCAGACGGGCACACAGTTAGTGGCCCTTAAAAGTTTATTTATACATGGTGGTGGTGGTGGTGGTGGTGATTGTGGTGTATCTGTGATTCTTCTTCATCATTCTCATCTGCAAAAAAAATTTTTTTTTTTTTTTTGACGAAGACCTTATGGACATTGAATGTATGCGCGCCAAATATTTATTTATTCGACGACGTGATTTTTTTTCCTTTAGTGTTTCATTAGTGATTGAAGAGAGAATATGGTGAATATAAACATTTTTTTTTTGTTGAGAAAAACACAAAAAAAACCATCTAATTTTTTTTTCTCCACTGGTGCATCATCATTTGATCTTTTATAATCTTCAAGTGCTGCTGTTGTGTTGTTGTTGTTGTGTGTGTGTGTGTGTGTGTGTGTGATGTTTGTTTATAAATAATCATCATCATTCACATCTTTGTCTTCATCGTTTTCTTCGTCATCATAGTATTGGTGGTTCTGGTGATGGTGAAAGGCAAAGTTCATTTTATTATGATGATCATCATCATCATCTCAAAGTTTGAAAAAGTCAATGATATTTGCATCATCATTTAAACAAGAAAATTATCCATTATTCCTCTTTCGAACAATACTGAAAATCTTTTCTTTTCTTTTCTGTTCAACAAATCGATTATTGTCCACTCGATATTATTTGTGACCATTGGCCAAAAAAAAAAAATTCTTTTATTACCTTTGACATCTTAAAAGGTTTCTCTCTCTTTGGGTTTTTCTTTGAAATTTTTTTTTCATTTCAAAGTCAAGTGTTGTGTGAAACAACAACAACAACGACAACAACAAGTGAAAAGCCATTCTGTATATACCCATAAAGCATAATAGCACACATAAAAAAACTCAATTTTTTCTCTTCAATATAAAAAAAAGTAAAGTTTTCTCTATACATACAGGTAAATTTAATTTCAAACCTGGAATTAAGAAATAGAATGAAAAGAAAAGAAAAGAAAAACTTTGACTTTGCCGTAATAATCATCATCATCATCATCATTATCGTTGTCTTCGCCGTAGTCATAAGTTGTGTATATGTGTGTGTTCAAGCCGTTGGCAACTTTTTTTTTCTCTTTCAAACATTTTCTCTTTTTTTTCGATTTTTCAGCAATATTTTCTTTCTTTCTTTTTCGATTTCATTGCCATTACCTTGACGTTGCTGTTATTATTATTCACCTGTGTGCATGTGTGGTTTGTGCTTGTACAACAACAATCATCGAACAAATGAAATGAAATCACCATTTCAACGAAAGAAAAAAAAACACCAAGTCGAATGATCATTTAATATTTTTTTTTGTTCCTTTAAAATTGCATCGTATTCAAAGTTGTCGTAATTTCTATCAGTGTGTGTGTGTGTGTGTGTATGGCAGAGAGTTCATAATGTTATTGAACCAATAAATAATGATCGAACAAAGAAAACAAAACAAATGACCTTTGTTCACGAAATGTCATCACATGATTATTGATTACAAATTGACATTTTGACCTTATGTATATTTATTTATAATCTAATCAAATGACGTGATTCCCATG